TGACAGCGTCTCCATTAGCGGTAAACGCTTGCGTACAGGACAACATTCGCTATTCATTTCTCATTACTCCTCCCCACCCATCCCCAACTGCAATTTACTGACACAGCGAGCGTAAACGGCCTCAGTCATTTCTGCGAGAGGGTTGGAACGAATAATGAACTAGCTTTGTGGAGAAAGTACCACAGGGGTGTGGTTGCCGACGGAGACGCTCCACTGACTGCATCCCACGAGGAAACGTCGCCGAACCTGGGCTCGGCCACGCAGAGGCAAACTGCTCTGATCCACACAGCTGTTTGCAAATAATTAGGATCATTTAGATTAATGGCACCATCCACATGAAAATCTTACACACTTAAAGGATTGTTGTATGTCTTCTTATTAAAGGAAAACTAACTCGACAGTGTGACAGTCAGGGCTACGTTAATTGTGAAAAACCAACGTTCATTCTTACCATAGTTGCTTTATTGAGCTTTTTTTATAGTGATGTTGATTCTATACTGCAATAAAATGACAGGTGTTTTTATTATTTTGTCCATGCCGTTTATGGCTAAATAACCTCTGTGTGCAGCACATTAATGATCAACAGCACCACAAACACGCAAGCTTCAACCGGTTGGGCAGGTCCAATGAACACTAAAGAAGGTACGCCTAAGTTAAAACTGTCACTTAATTAACACGTTTGGCAGAAGAACCAGCTGCAGGAGTAAAAGAACAGCAAACAAAGAGGAATACAGGATGTCATCTTCCATCCCTTTTTTCGGAGTCTCTCCCGTGTGTGCGTGCGTGTGTGTGTGTGTGTGTGTGTGTGTGTGTGTGTGTGTGTGTGTGTGTGTGTGTGTGTGTGTGTGTGTGTGTGTGTGTGTGTGTGTGTGTGTGTGTGTGTGTGTGTGTGTGTGTGCAGGCACATGTGTAGTCCTTTGTATCGTGACTTCCAGCAGATAAGGGAGATAAAAAAAACAACTTTGAAGTTTCATCCGCTTCTTAAGGGCGCAGAGGGGGAGGAGGAGAGACCGAGGTGTAAAACAGTGACTTCCAGCAGATAACAATGCGGTAAGAGCAATAAGGAGGGACAGAAAAATGTGAACGGTGAATAAGACGAAGCATGCCGTAATCCTAATCCACATTCTGGCCGCTTGTTTCCATCCCGGGTTACTACGGTAACCGGATTACCGTGACATCGGGGGAACGCGCGAGATCCTCAACCTCACATATTTTAAAGAAAGCGATGATACGACTCTTTCAAGGGCCCCGCTTGAGCGAGCGAACCGGCCCCTCGGGGCTGACTCCATGACGCAAACACGCACAGCGACGCGAAGGCCACAAACCGCTGCTCACACTCATCGGGATCCACAACGCAGTCGGCGGAAAGCCCACAGCTGCTCTCTGTGCGGAGTGGCTGTCCCAGTGGGTGGGCATATAAAAGCCCGTAACCATTGCTTTGTGTGTGTGTGTTTGTATGTGTGTGTGTCTCACAGTGACTGTGTGTGTTGAGCAGCTGAGTGGATGTGTTCTATCCTCAGAGAGAAGAGATTGGCTGCCTCCTTCATCCTCTTCTCTCTCCTGCTCCTTCGCTGCATGGTGACAGCAGAGTCACGGGCGAGAAAGCCTCAGACACACACAAACTCACATGCACCCAGTAAAATGCTGTGTTGCTTGTGCGTACGCGCGTGTCTAGGTGTCAGTGATCACAGAGATGAACGACTACTCCCAAAGGAGTGACGAGGAGCTGCGACTGATCCATTAGCCAATCAATAAGCCTGTCTGTCAATAAGTTGTTCCGTCGGGCAGAGTTTGGGCCAATGGCTGGCGAAGGGAAAGGCCTCCGTTCCCCGCCCCTGCCGCGGCAGGCGCTTCTTCAATTCGGGGAACTGTAATTCCCAAAAGCCCCATCAAATATTCACAAGCATCAGAAAGAAAAGAGAGGAAAGGGGGAGGAAGTACAGATACTGAAGCGTGAATAAATACACTTTTAAAAAAGAGTATGGGTACGGAGAAAGGAGAAATGAGATGAGAGCGTAAGAGACGTGGCAAAATGAAAGGAAGGAAATACCGATGAGGGCGACGGAAAGGAGAGATGAGGAGACGGAGAATGACAACAGTTGGAGAGAGAGAGAGAGAGAAACAGAGCTAAGGCTCTAGGAATAGAGAAAGATGACGGAAAGGGAGAGAGGGCGTGTTTAATTATTCAGCATTACCCATGTTCGCTATTTATGGCCCTTTTAGAGCAGCCAGTAGAAACTATATATATATATATATATATATATATATATATATATATATATATATATATATATACTGTATATGTGCTGTAGGCACGCGCTGCTCTCTTAAGCACAGCTCACCAGGGAGGTTTCGGCCTCTAGAAGAAAAACGTGATTATACGTTGATAAGAGGCAACTGATGGAGTTGTGATGCGAATGATTAGAGGGAAAAAACAAGGAAACCCAACCGCCACAGAGACGTAGGATGGGAAAGGGAGATCGAGGGAGAAGTCCAACTTAAATGATCCCTCCGCTTCGGCTGCTCTTGGCCAAACTATTTTTCTGTCAGGGAAATTGTAGCAAAAAACAACAACATCCCCATCCATCCATTTTTTTAATTGAGATGAGATGGCGTGCGTGCGAGAGAGGGGAGGAGAGCGGAGTAGACGGAATGGAAGGAGCGCCATGGAGCAGATCCCTATCATTTAACTATGAGGGTAATGGAACTGTTGATAAACCCGTTATCTCTCACTCCCAGACACACGGAACTGAAGCCCTCCGACACCAACACGCGGCGCTGCGCCGGCCATTACGTCACATGCACACAAAGGGATGCATGCATGGGACACATAAACATCTCATTCTGCAGAATGCTGTGGGCTGGTTTTAGAGGCGTAGTTTTCCTCCAGGAGAGGAATGACTTGATTTGAGAGAAGAAATTCTGGCATTACTGTTTACTTGTTTTGTGATGTTTTTATATCATATTTTTTAAATTTAAAAAAAGTCTGCTGCTAAGGAAATGTATCTGTTTTTAGCCTTTAACCTCCAAAAGTGTTTTTCTTTTGACAGGTCTATCCGCTGAAATTAATAATTCAGTTTCCAACTAATGAAAAGCAGTTCTGCCGGAGTCAGGATGACTAATTAATATGAACCATTAATCTGCGTACAGTTTGGCAAAATAAAACATTGCTTGAGCAGAGTTACGTAGCAGTTCTGAATTTTCGTTTGGTGTGACAGAAAAAATTGAGAAGAACACAACTTGTGAAATTACTTGTGTGTGATCTCAGAGCAAAGCTGCCCCCGTGTTACAGAGAAAATATAGTCCATTTTGGGAGTGAAAACGAAGAGTAAAATCATGTTTACAGCCTGCCAGAGTGTTATCTTTACATCCGAACAAAAGTTCAAGGCCAGCTGCGTTTGCTACGAAGAACACAGACAAGAACTCATTCATCCTGAAGTGATGGTCCAAAGCTAGACACAGAATTGTTAGAATGTGTTAGTTTTCTCATATGAAAAGTGTCTTGAAATCGCGTCTGAGGGATGCGGAGCAATTCCAGTTCACTAATACACCAGACTGAAGGTCAATTTATCATCTCAGTGACTCAGAGATTCACCTGCTCACAAGAAGGGGCTTGCCTCAACCACATGAGGGATTTAAAATAGATGGTGTTTTTACTCAAGTGACTCTGCCCCTTATCTGTATGGATGAATCCAATCCGTGCCAATTTATATCTGTGACTTCTACAGCACAGGAGGGGCAATATCTTGAACTACGCACAACAAAGCGTTTTAGAATGTGTTCTGATCTAAAAAGCTAGAGGTGGTTATGTGCTTTTTGTGTTTGAGAAACCATATAGCCAAATATATACAACAACAAATCCTCATAACCAAAAGAGGATAGAACCGAGGGAAGTTTCATTATTTTTTAGTAAGAGGCTGTGGCGTATTGTTTCATCTTCTGTCATTTGTCTCAGCTGTAATGTTTCCACATATGATGTGCAATACATCTCTAATGGGCTTTGTAGGACAGCAGTACGATTTATCAATATATTGTTAAGCACAAAAACTTTTGACTCAAAAAGTTGTCAATATCTATTAGACAAGCTCACAAGCTCACAAGGAAATGACAGTGGAACTGCCTCTTTTAGACATAAACCAATAGCAGTAACCGGATTCACTTCAGCGTAGCCTCAGCTGATCACAAACCAGTGTGGATCGGCCACATTGACTGCGGACCCAACAGGCCACTGCTGCTGCCACATGCCCCGTGTGGCTCGGCAGCATATAGGAACAGAGCAATGCACGGGTACACATAAGTCTCCTGTGCTGCATGGCAATGCATGCACTCAAAGCGGCCTTTGCATTTCAACACGGCCCCCGTATTTGAACCAACACATGTTTATGCCAGCTTGAGGTGAATAAACAAAGTGTCACATGCCGGTGCCGCATCCTGCCGTGATAAAGCAGGAAAGGGAAGCGAGGACCAGTGACGATGGGCCATCGTAGGGAGGGAAGAGGAAGCGAGGACAGTGACATGGCCCCAGAGATAATATTTAAATGAGAGAGAGAGAGAGAACTGTCCGGTCCAGTTGCCAGCAAAAACCTCACATCACAGTTATGTCAACATCGGAACTGAGCATAAGCACTTCCTGTTCCCCAGTGAAACACTTCCCCCTTAAATAACTAATCCAGAAAGGAAGAAAAATGACCTTTCACACAGGTATGGAAAGTCATTCTAATACAGCAGGGGCGGAGAGAGTAAGTGACTATAAAATAGTAAGGGAAATTCTTCTAAAAGCACTGTAATGTGCCCCAGTTTCTGCTTCTCCGGTGAGCATTGAAGTCCCTTTTTTCACTCCATTTCTCTTGAGTTTGTGCGCTGCTTTCATCTTTTTTTTTTTTCTAGTCACATCTTTATTCTTTATTCCATACTGGCAATTTAAGAAAGGGTGATAAGAAGGCGGAGCCTCCAATCACAAAGATTATGTGTATCAAAGTCAGTTTATTGGTGTATCTTACCTTGTACACCTGCCCATAGGTGCCATTTCCCACCAGCTCAACCAGCTCAAAGATTCCAGCAGGATCCTGCAATGAAAAAGGAAACAGAGAATGAGATAAATAAGACAAATCACAGCATACACTTTGATTTCATACAATGCTGTCAATGCAAAATGGTTAAATCAGATCCACACAGTTATCATGAGTCTATTTTCGTAGTCACTCCGGTTATTGCATACCTATGCAATTTGAACACACATGTATGGTGCCCGAAGGGTAATGATCCTCTGACTTCCCATGCAGTGCCAGCAGGAGGTTGACATTGTTGCTTTTGTATTAAAAGTCTTGTTAACTATCGGAAGGATTGTGACCAAATGTTGCATAGACATCCACATGCCTCACTTTGGTAGTAAACACTAGAAGCAATAGTGCGTCAGGGTTAGCAACATCTGCATTGTGAGCATGTCAGCATGTTAGCATTTAGCTCTAAAGGAACGAACGAAGTAAAGTACAGGCTCATAGACCCACCTGTCAAACATACTACTACAACATTGATTAGCAACATTTTAAACAATGGTCCGAGTTGGACCTGAAACCCAAGTCCGTAGGCTCAACACACGTAGCTCTCTGGCTGTTGATGTATCGGTCTGAAATGTAGTGCATGATTGTTTTAGGAGCTAATAGTTTAAGACCACGGTCGCTAGGTTGCCAGAGCATGAAACCCACCGACCTCAAACGCACACACCCGCAAACACACACATACACACACACACACACACACGGACACCTCCCCCTTCCTCTGTGCGGTGTGTTGCTGGGGCATTCCAACAATAGCTGGTATTCAGCCTCTCCTTCCTTCCCTCTCCCTCTCTCTCTCTCTTTCACACTCTCTCTGCTCCACCAGCTTCTGTTGTCCAACCAGCTGAAGTCCATCTATGTCCCTCTCACGCTTTTATCTGCACATGCTTTCTTTCGCCCCTTCATTCCTGACAGTGTCCAGGACGAGTCCTTCTTTTCAACGCTGCTCTCGTTCCAGTCGAGTCCCAGAAACACTGAGGCCCTTTTACCAGCTTCTGTTATGGCTGCTTTCTCGCTGTGCATCCCTCTTGCTATTGAAACGTTTTTTGAAGTTTTGTAAAGGTAACATGGCGCTTTTCATGTTGTGTCTTTCAACTTTGTACCTCGTTCTTTCTGCCGGAGGTGCTTGTGTAGAAATCGGAGATAATTTGGGGGGGGGGTTCATCTTCAATAATTCCATATTAAGAATATCTCAAATCTGTAAATGATCAAACATCATTAAATAGGATTAAACTGGTTATAATGTGCTTGCCTTGTACTGGCAGAAGATTCTACTGGGTGAGCTAAAAATATACCAGCCTACATTCTTACGCAACTACTAGTCTAAGTTCTCTCATTTTTTCCCCATGTATATTATCTAGGGACAAGCCATGTATAGAAATAAGACCATCTATAGGGGGAAAGCTAGAGGCATATGTTGTTGCTAAGTCACAGAAATAAAGTGCACTATTGTGCAGATCCGCTCTGGGCTTCATGCAACGCTTGAAAACGGACAATATTACAGCATAGCGACCTTTCACAGACAATTCCCCTCAATGAAGCATATTTCATTCGGTTGCACGCAGTTTCCATTCTTGTCTCTAACCTCGGCACTTCTATTTCCTGTGTATTTCCTCCACGGTCTGAATGAAATACACAATACACTTTTTCTCCCTTCTTTTTTTTAATTATTAGGCTTTTTGTTGCTTTCTCTTTCTCACCATCTGTAATTGTCCTAAATGCCATGTCTTTTCACCTTAACATCCACAAAACATTACTGGCACGAGACGCTGATCTACGTTTACTGCCACGACACACACAAAGGAAAGGGCTGTGGACAAATGCAGAAAGAAAACTTTGCCGGTCCATATTGTGGTGCTGGCGCTGCAGTGTGTACATTGTGTACGTGCTCCATGTGTCAGCATCCGCAGTCCTGGTAAAGGTTGAATTTCTTCTGTTCCCTCTAATTTTTCTCTCCCTCTCTGTTTATTTCTGCGTTCCAAGCAAACCTGTCAATGCTTTCTGAAGATACAACCTTTTCTTTCTTCCTTTTCCTGTTTTATTTCCATCCTCGTTTCTCTGTTGTGTGGAGAAGACTCTCTCTCTCTCTCTCTCTCTCACACACACACACAAACACAGTTTGCCCTACAAACACCCACAAAGTCATTCTCATACATGTCTCAAGTACATCCTCCTGCTGTCTCGCTCTATCGCACTCTCTTAATCACACACACAAACACACACACACACACACACACACACACACACACACACACACACACACACACACACACACACACACACACTCACATACTTACACACTCACAACCAGTGCCAGAAGCGCCCTCCTACACGAGGGATAGTGTTTAAATGTTCTGACGAGTATGAGTGGGCTTAAAAAAGTGTGTGTGTGTGTGTGTGTGTGTGTGTGTGTGTGTGTGAATGAGGGAGTCAGAGAAAGGCTGCAAACCACTTTTCAAGAGTGCAGACAGCCGCATTCTGCAAGCACTGCAAGTTTTTGCCTCGCTATCATGCCTTCAGCTTACGCAGGTACATTTTTTACACTTTTTCTGTCTCCAAGTGTGTGTTTGTGTGTGTGTGCGTGTGTGCGTGCGTGCATGCGTGCGTGCGTGCGTGCGTGCGTGTGTGTGTGTGTGCATGGCGGTGCAGTAAATTGTCTCTCAAAGCAGCATTACAGAGTTCTGACAGCAACTCCCAATACCCATCTGCACCAACAGAAGCATTCACACTCATAGTTCTGTAAATGCGAGGACACACCGGAGGACACATCATGATATGTATATTTAGATAACAGCCGTGCTTGTGGAGTTATTGCTGCTCCGGTTCATACGTGTCTCTAGGCCTGCTGATAAAAAATACATATACGGATTGATATCATTGGTATTTTATAGGCCACTTTCAGAATGAGCTGTGAGCGTGCGCTGGGCTTCGTGAGTGCTGCTGCATGCGTTTGCACGCGCGTGCACGTCTGCGGCTCAGAGGTTCCCGGTGACTGAGCCATTTTGGCCCCTTCTCCTTTTTGCCCTTTTGTCTTCCCTATTGAGCGTTTGCCAGCGTCACATGACTGCCACATGACCTCACTGGTGTCCAATGAATCACAGTGCATGAGTGTCCGAAGCGCCTCTCATACTGCGTCCCTGAACTTATGTAGATGTCCCCCCCCCCGAGGAGCAGCGTGTGAAAACGCACAATGTCTGATTCACCGGCCTTTAAATGAACTTCACCCTGCCAGCTCCTCGATACAAAGGCGGGCTGAATAATGAATCAAATCCAAATAGCAACTCGGTGCACTAAATCACAATGTTGTGCGTGTGAGATGAGACGTGGCCGTGGTGTGGAGAGACGTTCTCGTCCTCGCCCACGCATCGCATTCTACACGACTAAAGGAAACACAAGATGCTGTGGTTGTAAATGTGGCAGGAAGAAAACAAACATCTCGACATGTCCAGCAGAGAGAGCGTCTGACACTCCCGCTGTGAGCTTACATGAGTGAAAAAGAAACTCCAGACAACGTGGGCACCGTGTTCTCCGTCGGGAGGTCATATGACAAAAGTGCAGCTGCTGAATAACAGTCACGGATATGGTTACTAAAACGACACAAAAGCGCTGAGAGGAGCGAGAATGGTGGGTGATCATTTGAGAAGTGACAGCAGAAGACACATCAGTTCTCCAAATTGTCTAGTTTTGGGAAGAGGTTCACGTAAACCGCGATGACATGACAGTTTTTCTTCGCCAACCCACGAGTTAAAATGATTCCCTAGCAGACGTCTGAGAAGGAGCGTGACTTTTCAGTCATCAGTCTGTACGAGAAGACTCTACCAGGAAGGTATGCAGCATAGCAGCTATATTTATTATAAGTGCTTTTAAAAAAAGGAGACACACGGCCTTACTTCCTTCACCATTTATCCAGAAGAGCAAAGTTGCCTTGCTTACATTCAGTGCAGCGTGACCTTGACTTGTTTTTACTTCGCTCACCTGGTCCAACAGAAGAAGAGAGCTTTTGCACCGACACTTTTGACTCATTCCTTCGCCCTTTCTTCTTTACATGGAATGGTCGTGTGCAACAGCAGGAGGAAGTGGGATTAACTTTGTGCACGTAGAGATGGATGCAGCACCGGCTCAACTCTTTTGGTTGAACAGGGGGATATCGGTCCATTAGAAATAATGGCTTTTAGAGTGCAGGGCTGCAGCTCTGGTGAAAGCCACTTTGCAACGTGTGTGGGGACTTTAACTTGCTGCATTCATTCTTTCATTTCTTAACCTAAACTTAAGCCTCTTCATGGCATTCCTAACTCAACTTAACTCTTACTAAAGCAAAAGCTGATATTAAATTCACGCGTGACCACATGCAGAGGGGAAATGGGGACACAATACTTATCTTAACCCACATGGACCACGACCGCTGAGAAGCTACGAGTAAACGTGATCATAAGCGCGTCTCATCTTCCGATCAACACATACGACGAGAGCTATAATGGTTTTCTGAGTAAAGCTCTTTCTCTAATCCTGCTATTATGCCGTGGGTAAATCTGACCCATTTAAGCTTGGAGCAGTTAGAGAAAGGGGAAATCAAAAGATTATCTCACACGATCATGTTTGTGACAATGAACGGCGGAACCTCCTGAGTTATAACATTTACATGTCCCTCATTCCTCATAGGAATACTTTTAATCCACACCAGAGTGCCAGAGAAATCTATAGTGACGATGTTAACCATCAATATGTTGTCATTTTCCCAAATTCTGAAGAACACTTGTAGGTTGTGGGATTGGCCATAATCCAATGATGATGTATCATATTTCAATGTCATTATATTACAAAGGAAATCCTGTATTAAAATATCGTGAAATGCCATTCTAGACGCAACTACTAGTCTAATACTTATCAACTGTAATATACTATCCAATATGCTCAACAAAACCATATGATGATTCTAGATTGTTTGATTAAAAATGCAAATGCTTCTGAATGTTAAATAAAACATTTATTGGCCACAAAGGCATTGGCACGAGATGTATGTCGGATACGGTTTGCTTATCAGATTAAGACAAACATTCCTATCTACATCAGTCACACAGACAAACACAGAAAGAATTAGCTTAGCAGGAAATAAACGTACAATGGAATAACAAGGTTCAAAGTGGTTTTAGAAAATGAAAACAACAACAGTGCAACACGTGAATAATAAAACCGCCACTAAAACAGAAATACATCAGTGCAGTTAATCCCATCAACAAAGAGGTTGTTTGCATGCGTTATACGTCTTATTGCAACTCAGCTGGTGATTATTCTCATCGGGAGTTCGTCTGTTTAATCGGTTTATTGTGCACTGCTGCAGATAAAATATAAAAATCTGAAAGACATGTACTGCCTTCAGCGAGGAGTTAAGTTACGACTACATCAGACAGACCCGAGACACACATCTGCACACCAGACACACAAGATTAATACAAAGTGTGTGATTTGTGGTAGAAAGACGTCACGCTATATTATCAATGGCGTAAATGACCACAATTAATGTTAACTGAAAGGGAAAATGCTGAAAAGTATTTTATATTATATTATATCTGATGTGTTTCGGTTCAATAATCCACAACCTCCACATTCTGCTTCATTATCACGGCCGTCTCATTCACCGGTTTCACAGCTTTCAGCCCATTTTCGGGACACAAATGTCAATGCCTATGGACGTTTAGCGGCTAAAAAGTCAGCTATTTCCTTCAGACATTAACGGACAGGGAAACAGAGCTAGAGGAGAGTGAAAATACATCCCTCAGGTGGCTCAAAATCAAGACCCCAGATGAATATACAATAGGTGAGTGTTTGCTAACTAATGTCTCGACCCAACTATGTGAGAGAGAAAGGTGCTTCTTCAGGGTTAGGGTTACATACAGGCCGACAATACACAAGCATGGCATGTTTTTCTTTGGTGTGCACTGGGCAGCAGCCAGGTGGGAGCAGTTAGTGTCTCTAGAAAGTGAATCGCAGAGAAGTGAGGTGAATTGAATTAGAGACCCTAAGAGGATGATCTGAATCATGCCGGGGCCCCGAGCTCTGCCTCTTTTAAAACCACTCACACTTAACAACATGGCTCCCACCACTGCTGGCTTTTTACAAGGAGATGCTGTAATTCCCAGTACGTCTCACCCAGACATGTACAGTACATTAACAGGAGTTAAGTCCTAATCACAGATTTACAGCCCGCCGAAGACGATACCCGCCGCACCGCTCGCCCCGCAGCGCTAATGGACCCGTCCGCCTTTCATCTGCCTCCGCCGACTCGCCATCTCACACCTTCTCTTCTCCCCCCCTCCGTCCGTCCATCGACCGCCCGACATCTTTTTTTTTTTTTTCCTCTTCTCTCATTTCCACCTCTGTCGTTACAATCCATTTGTCTCGCCTTCCTGCCTCGCGCCACGCCAGTCGGACACAGCTGAGGGATTAAGCGCCCGCTATGGACTTGCTTACGCGCACTCGATTTCTTTCAAGCACCTCAACTCCAGTGTCGGTGTCATGCTTTGTGCGCTACAGTACGAGAGGAGGGGAGAGGGGAGGCCGTGTGAGGAATGTGTGCTTATCTGAATTTATGCAATAGTGGTTGTAATCTGTACCGCTTGTTTATTTCTATTTCCGCATGTTCGGCCTTTGTCTTCGCTGTGGCGTATTTTCCCTACACTTCACAAACCAGTCTGGGTGGAAGCCACCCTGAAGTATTTGGGGTTGACTGTCCTCGGCTTTATCTCCTCACATTGACAGAATAACTATACTCCAAAGGACACTTGTTTAAGAAAATCATTGATCACTTATTGAAAGTGAAAAACTTGTGCTGCTATCAGAGAACCAAAGACTCAATGCTTCATCGGTGACTTGGTAGGGAGGGGCTGTGGGGGAGAAATAGGTCAACTAGAAGCATGCTGGCAGAGTGGAAAGGAGGGAGGGAGGGAGGAGGGGAGGGGGGGCATTTCTCAGCGACAGACTGCTATACAGTATATAGACTATTCATGAATAAGCCTTGTGTAAGCCTTGGGCACTGCTGTGGCCCCGTTACTATGGCGCCCATGGTGAAGGGCTGAGGAATGTGGCCTTACTGGGCAACGGGGATGGAGAGGGCGGGAGGGAGGGAGGGAGGGAGGGAGGAGATCTGGAGCGGGGTCTTTGCTTTGGACTACTTTGGTCACTGGTCACATCTCCACCTTTTAGCCAGCGAAGAGCCTCTTCTTCTCCTCCACCCGCCTCTCATCGTCCCTCTAAGTCTCTCTCTCTCTCCGTCCCTCTGCGTCTTTTCCTCGGTCTTCCTCCGAGCGCGTAACCGTCCCTTTATCCTCCGCCGCTCTCCCTCTCACCTCAGATCTCACGACCTGAGTCCCTGCACAGCACCTGTGTGTGTTGCCAGTGCGCGCGCGTGCTTGTGTGAGTGTCTGTGCTTCCCGCTGGTTCACCATCTGTTACAATCATCAGCTGACTGGATGAACCCATGCTTCTGACGCCTCTCACCTCTGTGTGTGTGTGTGTGTGTGTGTGTTTGTGTGTGTGTGTGTGTGTGTGTGTGTGTCGCCTTTACATAAAACACAGCCTGTATAAAAGCCACTGTGTTTTTCGAACATCTTCTGTTCGTTCGATCGTCACTGGGAGTCGCCCGCGACGGTGGCGTCTGCGTCGGGCTCTAACTTTGGCCTTTGCCCACCCAAGTGACGTGGGCGGCGTCTGCGCGGGTGCCCGGGGGTGGATGTGCGACACCCCCCCCCCCCCCGAAAATGTTGGCGGGAGTCAATAAAAGGCACAAGAAGAACTGTGCGAGAGAGACAGACAGAGAGAAAAAAAAGAGAAGTGAGAGACAGTAACATGCAAAGGCCACTTCTGTCTCTCTCTCTCTCTCTCTACTTCCCACTCAGATATGTCGCTCTCTTTGTTTCAGTGTGTGTGTGTGTGTGTGTGTGCGCGCAATGGTCAGTGTGCCCATGAGCAGCTGAGTGCCCCATGAACCCCCAACCCCCAATGACCCGTCCCATCCATACACACAAAAACACAACCGTTCCCCCAGATCACTGCCACCAAGGCCGGTATTATAACCCCCCCCCACAACCCCTACGAGCCAGCAGACCTACTTCCTGTCTAGTCAGTCCAGCAGTAGACTGTACACTCATCTGAGACAGGCTGTGAGAGATTGTGTGTGTGTGTGTGTTTAGGGGTGGGAGGGGCAGGTTGGCAGGGGGGAGGGGAGCTTCACGCCAAGTCCAAATACAGACAAATGTGTGATGTGGAAGACGGAAAAATGTGAAGGAGCGGGACGAGAGTGGAAGGACACCGATGAGGAGTCAGAGAGAGAGAGACGGAGAGACGAGGAGTGCGAGTGCCGTAAATAAACCCCGTCCAGACATTTTGACTGACGTGCTGGTTTTTTCCACCTCTCGACTGAAGCTGTGGGATTCGTCAAATGTGAGAAGACATCGACAGTAAAAAAAAGATGATCCCTATTCGAGAATCACGGAAATGTACATGAACCATTTAGGAAAAAACGAATATAAGCGTTTCCGTCTGTGCAGGTGGAGACATGCTGTGGACATGCTCAGGCTGATCCCCGTCCTCTTCCCTCTCTTCCTCCTCCCACCCCTCATCCTCCTCTTCTTCTTCGTCCTCTTTCATATTCTCCTCTACGTTCTACCCCCAAATCCTGCTCTCTGCACACTGGTAAAAATATGCTGCTGCTGCAGGTGTAAACCTCAGAAGTAGCATGTAGTATCGACATGTCCTTAACCGTCCCTGGCAGACGGGAGGGGAAGGTGCATTCACAAGCTGGAAAATGATGAAATTGAAAGAAAAAGGAAGAGCAGCACTTGTGACTTCAACACAGACATGGAGGCGCCAACGTGGAGACAAGGACAGAATGAAGGGAAAGGGACGCCGTGAAGCAGACATGATGGAAACAGGCGATCGAAAGCAGGCAGACAACAACAACATAACAACAACAACAACTACATCGTGTGTCTGATGTGGTTTCGTTTCACAGCTGCGCCCCCCCCCTCTCTCTCTCGTTTGCAGCATCACTTGCGTGATGTTTGACACGCAGGTATTTCCAAAAAACACACACATGCACAGCGGAGCGAACAACATGAGCATCAGCGCATTAAAACACAAGCGCACGGGAGGCTGTTAGCTGGCGTGCCGGTCTGCGAGTGCGTATGTGCTGAACAAAAGAACTGACTATCGCAGGGTGCACGTACTGGTCAGGTAGGTTGGCACTGAGTAACACGCAGCCAGAGGACACGGCTATACGAAAAGGAGTAGTAGGAGAGCAGGATACCATCCAGTGGAGGGGTGGGGGGGGGGGTAGATAAGAACAATAAGAGAATCAGCGGTGTGTGGGAAAAATAGGTTAAGTTCCACTGCTGTTTTGAATCGAGGCTGATGGGCCAAGAATAGCCTGACACAAACCCAGCAGAACCCCAGCTGCAGCCTCAACTCAGCATCACACACACACACACACACACATTCCTGTTACCGAGTTGAATGGAGAGGCAGCTGTCATGTTAGTTAACGCGTCTGTATATATATGTACATTTATATATATATATACATATATGTACACACACACACACACACACACACACACACAGGCAGAGATTTGCTCCCATCTAACGCTATAATTTCCTCTATAATTGACACATTGTGGCGGCGTGGCTCCCACACACATCCTCTTGCAGGCTGCTGTTCAGGGATGGCTGTCAGGTGCAGGAGAAGGAGAAAGGCGCGCGCGCACGCACACACACACACACACACTCACGCGAGTCTCCGATCACGTGAAGCTGTATTCGTAAGATGTAAAATGTCACACAGTCTTACCCTCAGAGCGGACAGGTCGATTTCGTCCAGACTCCGAGCCGGAGAGTCGCTGGCCATGATGGAGCGCGCACAAAAAGCCGCTCCAGTTGCCCGGTATCCTGCAACGGCCCTTTCCTCTACCACGACGGCGCCGTGCCTGTCTCCGCCGCTCCGTCTCTTCTGCCCCCCTCTCTGCTACACGGCGTTGGGTTAAAAAAAAAACACACACACACACACAAAAAAAAAAAGCACTAACAACAGCTTTCAGGTCGGCAGCGGGACGGGCCACGGGCCGGGGGCAGCACGGGGGGCGCACAGCTAGAGGGTGGGAGGCATCGACACATCCACAGCCATGTCTGCGGGGATGTACACGGAGCAGTGTGGGGGGGGACCGCCGTGGAAAGCGGATTATTGCCGTTGCTCTCTCGTGCTGGAACCGCTGCTGTGTGACAGCCAGTGAATGGAGAGAGGAGGAGGAGGAGGAGGAGGAGGAGGAGGCAGCGCACCGCCTCCTCGCCACGACAAACCACGCCCAGTAAAGGGGCGGGGCTTGGTGAGGCAGGACTCCCGAACTTCTTTCTCCTTCCAACGGACCACGTGACTTAACACACAGGCGCGTTTTATTATTACTATTATATGTGTGTATGATGATGTTTGTGTCACATTGACGCTGTTTAGAAGCAATTTTAGCTTCATCGATGTATTCAATAAAGTATCTGTATTAATCTGTATTTTTCAGCAATTTATTAATTTTTCCATGGTTGGTGGAGACGGAATAACCTAAAATAATTGACTTAAGTATATATTTTAGAAACAATAAATACTTCAAATCCACATGGAAAGCTCTCCTCACAGCACCACACATCATTGAACAACCCTGACTTTATGGTATCTTTTATAGGGAAACAATCATTCTAAATATTATTACATTTGAGGGACCCCCATTCCACTCTAGGGCCCACTAAATTTGACAAAAAGCGATTAGTGCAATGAGATACTATATGTATTAACTTAAGTTTGAGGGAATTACCTGTTGCAAATGAATACATGTCCTTATATGAATCGTCAGTTCCAAGGAAGGTAAAAAAGGCTCCAGTGAAAATAATAAATCTTCCAATGATCCCTTCCTTGGAAGTGACGGTTGGTAATTCGACCTGTCCTTGACAGGTTTTGGAATTACTTGCTCCTTTAAAGTATCCCTTCCTTGGAAGTGACGGTTTGAGATTTGGCATGTTGTGGAAGGTTTTGGAATGTGCAGTTCCAGTCACGCACACCCATTGAATTGTGACTCATAAACCTCCCTAAACCTGCAGATTATGTAATCTTATGAGTCTCTTTTATATTTTTCTTTTTTAATACACACATATGCATATACACATATACACACATACAGGATGGGAACTTTATCATGTGATTGTTAGCAGTACTGCATGTACAGAGGGTAAACATGATTGGTGAACACGTGTTGATGGTCAAGGACTCAGACAAGGTCCTGGGTACGATTGTTGAGGAATGAGTGATACCACTTCATAACGAAGGGGCTAACATTCATCATCTGAAAGTCCGGGATAGGCCCTCGGGTTCTGCTTAGTTAGTAGGTTTCATGTTGGTGGCTGTTTTCAAGGAGTTCCATAGTTTTTTAAAGTTTATGGCCTGAAGGTTTTCCGCTATCGCCTCCCTATGGTGTCACCGAGCTACACTATCGCTTTCATACCTTTCCTATTTGAGTCTTCTGAGTTGGATACATAAACGTTTCAGGGCTAAAATATAAATGAAACATATGCAACACTTAAGATTCGATAAAAAGTTTGTAAGAAAAAGAAGCAACGGAATTCAAATACATTTTGTTAGACATTTAAATTCAGAGGTACAATATGTTAGATGAACAGACATAAAATGACAAATTGTGCAAAAATAGGTATTTTACATGAATATTGAAAGCATAATCCACTGAATTAAATCCCGAATTATGGTTACAATAAAGAAACATTTAGGTTTTGTTACAAATCCACAACAACCCATACAACCATGCCGTATGTATAGATACCTATAAAATCTATAAAACATGTTTAAAGAATGTTAAATTGCTCATATTCCTTAGATTATGCAGAGACAAATATAGGAAGCCAACAACTGTGTTTTGTCTTTGTAGAAAGAAAGGCTGTAATGTTTCCAGTTCTTATCACTTCAGTTACCGTTCACACATTTTCTGGTCCCATTAAGGATACAATAACAACACCTTCATTATCGGCTCCCATATAATGCACTTATCGTCTGCTGACGTTAAATAAATGCCAGATATTTTCATGTTGGGTTGTGTGATGTAAAGGAATCAAAATGTCAATCAAATCAAAGAACAGGAATCAAATCAAAGAACAGGCTGTGTTGCTCTTAGAACAGAGGATTTAAAAAACTAAATAAAGCGGTTTATCTTTATTGATTTACAGGGAGCATTCCTCCAACAGCCCCTGGGGACGTCGTGTTTCATGACTTTCAAGGGAATGATGAACCAAACGCTTGCTATGGAATTGTTTTGATGACTGAGCCCAGCTGGGGTAAAAAGGAGTGGTTCTTTAACTTCACATGTTTTTGCCACTGCTGCTGGAGCTTGTGCCGACTTGCCTTGAAAAAAAAAATTGACTAATAAACGCAAAGAAATCCATAAAATCAAAACAAATCAGTTACCATGGATACCACACATTGACGTCTACAAAATACGTACATTTCCCCACAATGTAGTTCTCACATTTCATAAGAATCTAAAGAAAAACTTAGTTTCCCCTTGACAGAAGCAGGCAATTTATAGTCCCATTAAAAGTTTGTCAAGAAAATCAACTGCCAGCAAACTGGAAACGAAACGAGCACTTTCAAACTGTATCTTCACATGGCAGCTTTGCCTCTGGCATCAATTGCATGCTATATGCAAACAGTTGATTTCAATATCTCTGTTTACATTGTTTTCAAAGACTGTATTTTAGCACTTTGAAGAAAGACGCAACAAGACTAAGAAAAGTAGACAGGATATCTAAAAGGCCCATATTGGACTGCTGTACACCAACAGTAGTAGAATAGCACCATCTGTTGAGCAAAGAGGAAACGGCTCTTTTGAATTTGTGAGCTGATTGTCTCTGTTCAGCCTCTGGTATTCACCACTAGCATCAACATGTCACTCTGCAGCCTTTTAATCAACCATCCTCTGCAATGAGCAGTGTCCACTGCCCCCTCTGAACATAGCAGGGTGTAACCGTGATGAATGCACGTTTGGACCTGGGTCAGCTGCACACGCCGTCTTCTCAATACTCCGCAGTGATGTTCAGACCTCACATCCTTATAACCAAGTCACAAAACACCTTTCAAAGAAAACCCAATGTCTCTGAGGGTTTAATCAGAGATGGATTGGTACATGCATTGTAGCACATTTGTTCAAATCATGCACCACTGTCTTATCAGTGAAATTGTCACTGTACTGCACAGCAAAGACCGATCGCATGATTTTGGATTTGTTTAAAAATAAAGATCCTTAAGATGCATCTGAGATCGTAGACCGCTGCTGCTTAGAAACTTGTCCCAACAAATAAAACGGCAGTCAAAGCTTACGATCAGACTCGGCGTGATCATTTTGAACTAAGATAAATATTTGTTAGTGTCACCGTGAAAAATGTCACTACCGCCTCCATCCTTTGACGTCCTTGCGGTTTTATGAGCTTTTCCGACAGTCCAAAGAGTTGATTCCCAAAACCCAAAGTTCATGTGTCCTTGTTTCTCATCTCTCATAAATATTGTCCTCAAGTGCTACAACGTTCTCTTCTCCATACATCCCAAAAGTGTTAACGCCAACCACAAATAAACTGTCACTACAGTTCAGTGTTTTTGTATAAGAAACAGAGATTTGTCGACGTCCAGCAGTCAGATCGATCCAGAGGATTAAAAGCAATCTCTCTAATAATCTGATATTACACATGCGGCGACAACCATAATCCAAGAAATAAATTCGGATGTGCAAGTGGCTGGCAGCCGCGGCACTTCCTTTTAAGTCCAAATCTCAGTTGGGACCATGGCCTCCTTCGTTCCAACAGAGGGCATGAGGTTCTGCTCGGACAGGAAGTCCAGAGGAAACTGGACCAGGAAGCCTCGGATCTTGCGCAGCTCCTCCTGAGCGCGGGCCAAGTCGGTCTGAGCCAAACCTGGTTTGGACTGGTACTGCTCCAGCTCGGACATGTTCCTCACCAGGGACGATGGAAGGCAGCGAAACACCTGCAGGAAAAACAAACAAATGTAGAGCTGAAATGCGGCTGGCTCTGGGGCCCTGGGACCCTGGGGGCCTGGGGGCGTTGTTAGGTAATTCTCTCCTTCCCTCACTCGGACACCCAAGTGGCGGCACGGATCTCTGCCTGTGTGACTGACAACCCTCAGTGGATGTCCGCTCACCATCTGAAAATCAACCCCGACAAGACTGAACTACTTCTCTTTCTAGGGAAAAGATTCTTGGCAGAGAAGAACTTTGGCAACTCCGTGTTAACGCCCACTTTGACTGACAGGAACCTCGGCGTGACACTCGACACTTTCACGCATCAGGAGAATACACAGGTGAGGCTGCACAGGTACGGATTCAGGCTCTTGTCATCACCCGCCTGGACTACTGCAACTCCCTCCTGGCAGGTCTCCCTGCCACCGCCATTCGACCTCTGCAGCTCATCCAGAATGCAGCAGCTCGACTGGTCTTTAAGCTTCTGAAATTCTCCCACACTACTCCACTCCTCCGCTCTCTTCACTGGCTACCGGTGGCTGCCCGCATCCAGTTCTAAACGTTGGTGCTCATGTACCATGCTGTGAATGGATCGGGTCCAGCTTACATCCAGGACATGGTCAAACCCGACATCCCGACCCGCACTCTCCGCTCTGCATCTGCAAAACTGCTCGTCCCTCCTCACTGAGAGCAAAACACTCGACTAGATCTCGACTCTTTGCTGTCCTTGTGCCGAAATGGTGGAACGAGCTCTCTGAAGACACCAGGACCACAGAGAGCCTTCACATCTTCCACCGCAAACTAAAGACACACCTCTTCAGACTCTACCTCGACTAAAGACTAACAAATTGTAGCACTTAAATTGTACTTATAACGGCACTCATCTATAGCAAATTGTAAATGGCTTATTTGAGGAAATTGCACTTTCTCTTCGTCTTGTTCTTCTGAGTTTGTACCTCTATGGTTGAACCCACTGTTTGTCAGTCGCTTTGGATAAAAGCGTCAGCTAAATGACATGTAATGTAAAGTATCTCATCAGCTACTGGACAGACTTGCATGATATTTGGCACAAAAGTCTGGTCATTAGGACGAATTCAAATGACCTGTGGTGGTCGCCGATTTCAGTTTCATCCTTGGTCCAAGTAGTCTCTTTAGTTTAGTTTTTAGTCTTATCTTAATTCAATCTACCAGAATGATCCACCAGTTATGTCTTACAGTGAATCCTTGAAGTCCATTTGATAAGATTTACCCGCTGACTCTATATTTATATATCTTCATTATACCTTCTCATATATAGTGGCGTTGCGTCCAGCGGTGGTCATCCACACCTCCTTGTAGAAGCGATCACTGATGGGGTCGGACATGTCGATGCTAGAGTCCGTGTGACCTCCGAGGACGGTTCTGTTGAGAACGAGGAGATAAATCAGAAATATAATACTCTCATTGTGAAACCTCTTTCTTCTTTTTAGTTCTGTAGCTCAAACCCACCGGAAGCACTCGAGGCGGAGCTGAAGCGCGTAGGGTCCAGCTTCGTACTCCTGTCCGTCCATCACTCCGGCCACCTTTTCAGAGTCCTCGACGATCACCGCCACCTCGCTGTCGCGTTTACCCAGCATGCTTCTGTCGTTGATGTTAGCGGAACCTGAAGGAAACACGCGGAACAAAGGATGAAACTCAATTCATGATTATCGAAAGGAACCTTTTTGTCACAGCAATAAATCTGGTAAACACTTGATAACTAATTAAACGGAAAAAAAGGAAAAATCATTACTAAGGAACTGGTTCACAGATTCTGAACAAGTCCCTCCATTGTATTGACCCGGTCAAACCGGCTTTGTCAAGAGGTGGACACGCATCCACTAACGCCGTCCTTATGTCTAAACATTAACCATAATAGACAATCTGACAGCAAGGTGGAAATTCCACTAAATCACAAACCTCATGTTAAAGACAATATACCTCCATTGGACTTATTTTATTAATATTGTCCCTATATTAAGGAATACAAATGTAATTAAACTTTCCTTAAACCTATAATGGAAAGCAGAGTATTTGGGAACAATTTCAAGCCGTTACATTTGTTGAATGTTTTGTCTCCGTCTCGTGCGAGCGAGTTGTGCCTTTTGAGCCAGCAGGTGGCGCAGCAGAGCTTTGTTACAACAAACCGCCACATGTTTAAACACTTTTGTGTGGGCATTCGATGCTGCACGCACGGTGAAGGACTCGCACTTGGCGTCTCAGTGGCGTGGAGCGGAGACGCCTCGTGTAGCAGCCGGTGAGAACAACGGGAGAAAACAAATAGAGTGAAGAACGCGAAGGAGGCAGACTGACCGATGATGACCGTGTTGTCATCGGCGATGAGCATCTTGCTGTGCACGTAGATGAGCTCTGTGACCAGGCGCCCCTCCAGCTCGGTGTGAGTCCGCAGGCCGGCGAAGGAGATGTAGTTCATCCAATGGTCGTCCACTGGGGGAGGAGGGAGAGGGGGGAGGATGAACTAAGGACGCAATTTTCCCTTTTCCCCACTTACCCCTTAAATTAGAGGTCTAGGTGAATGTTAAACGTCATCAGTGTACTTACTCTCCTTTTTCAGCTGAGAGATGATGGAGTATTCTCCTCTGATCATGGTTCTGAGGAGGCAGGAGATTAAAAGTCAAACAAACTATAACTCAGCGGTATTCTCTTTGACCTCCGACCTCCTCAATTCCTGTGGTTCACCTGTAGTTGAAGTGCATGACGGCCTGAATGGCGTTCCCTCCTCCCGTGGTGATATCCCCCTCAAATCCCGGGAGCAGCGGCGTGACCACGTACACGCGGTACTTCTTACCCTCCCTGAGAGCAAACACACATCAGTCGCGTGGAGGCGAGAGACAGCAGGAGACCGGAGCGGCCAAATGAAGCAGAAAAAAAAAAAAGGGGAAGTACTTGTAAGCTCGAAGGATCCTTTCAATGATGGCGTCTCCGATCTTGTTGTAGACCGTCCTGTTGTCGGCACAGCTGATGAAGAACTGGTTCTGAAGGGAGGGGGAATAAAAGGAAGGACAGCGACACGGTTACAGAGGAGCCTTTCGGTCCACGATGACATCGTTGCGGAGTACGACGACACCACTGACACGAAACGACCTCGTGTTTTCACCTCGATGTAGATGTAGTGTTTGCTCTTAGCGATGACGTGGACGTAGGCAGTGTGGATGGACTCCTCGTGGTACTTTATACCTGCAGACCAATCTGCTGCAGACCGCAACACCTTGCCCACACAGAGAAGAATTATTATAGTAGCAATTCTTAAAGAAATATGGCTGGCAGCAAAAGAATTGCAGGGTTCAAAATTGAAAGAACATCATAAAAGCACAACAATGAGTAATACACACACACAACATTTGTAATAAATCGTTGGTGGTTAGACAAATGGAGAAGTTGTAAAAAGTGTTCACAGAGCTCACACAGTTATCAAACAGTACAAAACAAGAGCAGACTAAATGTCCCTTCGGCTGAAAACCTTGGAGTGTTAATCGCAAGTGCAAACCTTTGTAGTTATATAACTTTTGGTCCCACGGAGAGTCTTTTAATGCTCACTCTTTTTTTTTTTATCATCCTCCAGCTGTGCTTGCAGATGTGTAGGGTACGGAAAGAATTATGGCGAGTGGGAGTTTATACGTTTTATATGTTCTGGTGTTTTCTCTGTAATTTTCCAGCAGTGGTTATTTTGAGGCTTGGTGAATGGTTGGTTTTTACCCCACTTTCTCATTTTGTGTAATTATAAAGAAAGAAAAAAAAAAAACATTTTCCACAATGTGTGTTTTACGAGCACAGTTAGGAGTAAAATGGTACTCTTGGTGCCGAGTTCTCATACCTGCACTCTGGCGTTGACACAGTCAGGAACTTGGTATCTGAGGTCATCGGCACTGGAGTGAGACTTGGGCAGCAGGAACGGATAAGACAGGGAGCGGTACTTTGGCTTCATGATCTGTGGGGCAGAAAGTAGGAGAATGCGGGCATAGAGAGGGTAAATATGGGGTTAGAGGAGGAATGGAAACGAGTGAAAGCAGGAAAACCCAATGAGAAAACTGCTGATGCCACGGAAAGCATGAGTGTGAGGATTTAAGAGCTTTTTCCACTGTTCCAGCCAGACATTCCTTAAGAGTCGGACAGGTTACAGTCTATTATTCCATTCTTTTAAAGTCAACTAATTGTGATTTTCCACAGTTAGAATACATTCATTATTAGTTGCAAGGAAACCAAGCAAAAAAAGTAATTGGCTACAAGTCTGAAAAGTGGTTAAATTCTGCAGAAATAGTCAAACAGGTTAAACTGAGCTTAAGCTGTTCTACGTCCCTGTGCGGGTGTTTGTTAATGGACACAGTGGCGGTGCGTTACAGAACCTTAGTGAAGTTCCAGCGCTGGATGAAGTGCCTGGCCACATCCCGCGCTGCCCTGCCATGAACCACTGAGGCGATGTCATGCCAAGGCATCCTGGGAGTGGTGTACCTGTCGATGAAGTCTGCACAGAGCGGCGGCGGCGGCGGAGACAGCCAAGGGAAACGTGTGAGAAGGGGAGGGGACACAAAACAGGGGACAGCACGACGGTTAACCTCCATATTTGTTTTTCAGATGACCATCTGTTTCCATCAAACCGAAATGGGGGAAACTTTTTCAGAGTAAGACCGAGCTGATTTGCGTGCGTGTGTTTGTATGAACCACACCGTCGAAAGGTTTCTCCAACTGGATCCAGTCCTTGTAGACAAAGTTGCAGTAATCTTTTCCATGCCAGAAGCGTGTGTTTCCCTGTAACTCTCCAACACCTGTCTTGAGGCTTTGCACCGAACCGCTCCCTAAACACACACGTATTCATACACATGTTTATGGAAAAATGACTGCCCGCACACTATTTAGCAATGTTCTTCACAACGACCCTCTCGTTCACTCTCTCTCATCCTCTCTCCTTCTACTCATGCGAAACACACCTGCGCTGTCGACGCTGCTGACGCTGTCTGCGTGCTGCAGAGTATGTTTGTGCAGGTGTTTGTACAGACTGAAGCGCGCCTTGCGGCTGCGTCCCACGCCCTTCAGCTTGGGCAGGTCAACCTGATCCCCGGGCAGCGTCCCTCGTCCGTTGCTCCTGGAGACGGCATCGGCGGAGGCCGCGGCCCTACCGGACGGAGCGTTGGTGGAGGCGGCCTGGGGAGGTGAAAACAAAGCGGAGGCTCGTTCAGTCGCTGGTTAATAGCTGACGCTTTTAATCCGACCACGCGGCCATTAGGGGGGGGGGTTTAGTTTTGAGGCACTTTTGAGTTGTATTGCATTATAGTGTTAGTTTTCTATTGCATAAGCCTCCTTTATTGATAAAATGCAAAGCGAAAGCCAATTAGATCAATAAGTTTTATTTTAGTAACCTAGTGTAAACACATCAATGCTAGAGGAAATGTCAAAGAGACCCCACAAAACACTGGGATCTATCATCTGGGAACTACTTTTTGAATATTCAGGTTTTTAATGGGAAGGTTTCTTCGTAACCTCTTGAGGACTAAAACAGCAGTTTGGCCTGAAACGTGTGTTTAATGAAAGTGGTTTGTTTTCTTGACTAGAAGGTCAACGGTGTCTGTGTAGTCCTGCAGGCAGATGTGACATCACGGGGCTCCGCCCGAGTCTTTATATTCTGTATTCTTGCGTACTCCTGAGGGTACACGCAACCCCACAAGCTCAACTGGGAGTAGATTTATCCTCCTTCTCATATTGAAACCATTTGTCAGGAGACAGATGTGTTGCCTTTATAACTCCAGGCAGTGCAGGTGGCGTTTTCCTTCCCTTATATTGAGAGTCTGACCTGCTCGAGGGCCACCGAGCGCGTCACGCTGCCGACATCTGTCAGCCGATGCTCGCTGTCGTCCCAGCGACCGTACGCCAGGTCTATCCCGCCCACGAAGGCCACTGATTGGTCAACGACGACGATCTTCTCGTGATGCGCCCACAGATACACGGAGGAGGACACGTGATCTGGATGACGCATCACCTGAGACACGAACATATAAAATGCAGGAAAATATGGATTGAGGAAAAATTAAAGTTTCTATATACAAATGTGAGTCCAATTGACTGGTTTTGCAATATCACATTCTCCTTCACTACCCACAATGCTTTAGCTACCTTGATGTTGGGGTGCAGGTGTGAGAGGGTCCTCTTGCTGTAGCCTGAATTTATGCCCAGGGCGAGCTCCACCTCCTTGTACAACATCACAAAGATACGCACTCCCTGTTGCTGCAGACGGACAGAAGAATAATGAGTAATAATGAATAATACACATTTGTACAAATAATCACAAACACTGATTATTGTTATCTAATGTTATCAAAATGTTCTTTTTTTAGGAGTCCAGAGTGCTGAATACTTGTGTGTTATTAATCTCCTGTAATGCGGGTAAACTAATGCCTACTTACGGCTTTGCGTTTCAGGGTGCAGTCCAGCCTCCACCGGTTTCCCTCCACCACGGGTCTCTTTAGGAAGATCTCTGGACTCAGCCTGGGGACAAAGATTAACAGAGAGAGACTTGATGAACTATAACAGATAACAGAAATGGGCGTTAGCTCGTATAACGTAATGAGTCTTGTCAGTCGTTCACACGTCTGCAGTGCCATTGGCAGGAATTCACGACACGCCACATTCGGCTCTGAGGGATTTGAAATTACACTTCTAGGATTATTAAAACTGTGTCAGCAGAGACAAACAGTGTTTATATTCAATTTTAAAAAAACATCACAAAACACTATGAAAATGATATTTGTGTGTGTGACTAAGTAGATATGTCACATATCTCAGAGATTCCAGTGTTTCTTTCAGTAACCCATGACCTTGGATTACGTAAAGCGATATTGGCACACTTCGAGACAACAGAATTTACAGCTATAAATCAATGCCCTTTGTTGGGTCACATTATCAGTTCTCATGTGAGGAACAAAACCCCTTCAGTGAATAAAGAAACCAGCGAGACACACGGCGGGTGTGGTGGAAGAGTAATGAGACACTATGTGGGGAGAATCTCTCCGTCCCTGTATTTCTATTCTGGGTCAGGCTGTAATTAGAGGCAGTAGCATTACGTGTCAGCGAGCCAAGACTCGTGGGCAAATCAGATTGTAAAATGTAACAGCACGTACTACTCGGTTAGAGTGTCAAGTTGTCAGTTCATTCTCCTGACGCTGGTCTGTGTGTTTTGCCAGCACAACAAAAACAACCCACCACAACCGTTCCTTGTGGATTCGTCTCATACTATCTTTTACAGCATCATCTGTATGATTGCAGATCTGGTTCCAAAGAGTAAAATACTTAAAACACGTAAACATGATTCTGCAATATGGAATTTTTTGAAGTCACAACGTCAACTTTGCTCTTGATTACTTTTGGGGACATTATTGCCAAGAATAGATATTTGAAGAATTGGTAGTACGAGGGGAAAGAAAATCAAGCAGGAAACTGGCATTCCACAACAAAGCTTCTAAGACAAATACACAACAAGAAGTGCAACGGAGAAGAGTCATAGCAAGTCCGAGTTACATATTAACTCACTCTGTTATCACTTTTCAGCAAGTATATTCACTTTTCTTTCCTGCTTTGGTGGCAGAAAGGTTATTATCAAGTTAATCCCCTCACCTTAAACAGGTTGTACATCCGGTTTTCACTATAAAACTAAAGCATAATCCTTTTACCGTGTGTTCCACAATCATTCTTGACATGGAAAGACATGGTGAACTGAGTTATTACGCGTCAGTTGATGATCAGCTTTGTGTTGGGCTCCGTGAAGGCAGGGGAAGGGAACCAGTTCAATTTTCTTTTCTTTACACAGGCTCTGTTGTAGCCAACTGATAAGAAAAGAACATGCGTTCTTCTGTTGTTGTGGGTCTGTCGAGTTCAGGCGAGGCGCATTCAACCCCCGGAGCTATTTTGGGGCGTACTTCAGTGCTGACAGCAGACGGCATCACGCTGAAGCTTTTTGACGTGATGCATTTTCACACCGAAGCCACACTGAAACTCACCACCAGTCGGTGATGAAGATTTCCTCTTTAGCCTCCTCCAAAGCATCCGCCACGTCCTCCATGTACGTCTTTCCGTTCACGTACCTGCAAAAAGAGGCTACGGTCAATTGGGAAAAACATACGCAAACAGTCACATGTGCTCGCGTGGATACAAACACACATTAAACACACGCACATAGTACTTTCCTCCCCGACTTCCTTGACCCTGCAAGCTTGGGGCAACACCCATGGCTCTGTCATCCTGACATAATTGTTGTTAAAGCACTCTTTTTTTTTCGCCCCCATTGTTTATCCTTCATGTATAAAGAAAACGTAATAACATGGTCACCAACGTGATTCAACATTACAGAATCTGCCGGCTGAGGGGGAGAAAATGCCAAAAAAAAAAAAAAAGGCCTGAGAGAAAGAGATTTGGCTGCGAGTCCTCTTGGACATTTCCATAGTTACCAGTGAAAAGATAGAAGAGGAAGGAGAGAAAAAACTGGTAAGTACATCATGAACATAGTCCTTATGTGTTTTAACGTGCTTTTAGTCGTAAGCATTGATATATATCCATAGCGCTGTGGAACTAGAAACATAATACGTTATTAAGCACTTCATAGGGAGGCATTAGGTAGGATTATGCTTTATCAGTCTCAAAGCGTATCATAATTACTATTGTTGAAATAGGCTATAATCATTTTATAGTGCATTACTTTCAGGGTGTGAATCTAATTGGTAATGGTTTACTAAAAGTGAAACTATGCTTTGTTCTTTTTCTCCAAGAGTTACTTATGATGACCACTACAATGTAACGCTACTATATTATATCAGTTATTATAATGAAAGACTATTGTGGAAATTCTAATACATTATGATCCTTGCAAATCAATGAGCATTTATGAAGTTACTTAACCTTGAAAACCTTTTTTCTAAACTCTGTATTGTGTGTTATTATTGATGGTTTTAAGTATCTCAAACAAGCAGCTTTTTCAAGATGGTTGAATCTATCAAACTGAATAGGTAGACTTATACAGACTTATACAGATTTCAACCTGAAAAGCCACAATAGAAAAAGGGGAAATGGCCCAAACCAACGTGGAAGTTTGAACGCATTGCTTTCCCACTGTTGATTCTGCGTTGTGTATAAGGCAACATGAGTGGCACGGAATGCGCTCGGCCCCGGTGCGGTCACCATTTGGCGGGAATGTTTTCCTGCTCCTGTGCAAACGATCCGCAGCGGTGATCTCGGAGGAAAGGCTTCCCGTGACTCCTCACGAAGCTCTCGATGCTCTGGCCCCACCAGCGCGCGTGTCTGTAGCTGCTGCACTTAAACACCAGGGTCCTGCCGGGGCGATAAGAACAGATGCGGTTTAGTGCAAATTAAATCATCTTTGGGTTTCATTTCGCCATTAGCTCGACACACAGCTGAACCGTTTCTAAGAGAAGGCATTGCGGGGTATCAGAGCCCCATAATCGTTCCTAAAATAACGTTAAGCCCTGGATTGTGAATGTTGGAATGAGCTAAAGAAAACAATCGGCCCTGTCGCAGCGGATCCCCAACGGCAGCTTCAAGCCACGAGGCTGCGCTCCCCCAGTCCGTCTGGGATCTTTTTCCTTTCTTTTCCTTTTGGATTTCCAGAGCAACTAAAGTTGAACCCATTCAAAGTTAATTTGTTGGATATATAACCGAAAAATATTGCTAATATTGCATATTCTTTCCTCAAAGTGTGAGTGTAAGGGGAAGATTTTATTTTCAACTGGTGTTGAAATGACATTAGTTACACTAGAATACACTAAATACATTGAGTACCAGTGTGATAACTGCTTGTGCTACGAGGATTAAATGAACACACACACACACACATTTAAATCTAACCTGGAGAGGCTTTCAATCCGCACTCCATATTTGTGCTCTGTGTCTTTGGAGTCCATCTTGATGCTGAACTCTTTATCCACCAGGAGGACGAAGGAGATCGCCCCCGAGTCTGGCTTCATGTACAGCAGGCACGAGTCCTTCACCACCAGCCAGCTGCAAAACACACACACACACACACACACACACAGGGCTCATCATCATCTGGATTTATGATGTGCGTGTCTACGAGAAGGTGTGCACATTTTGATTCATTGCTGTGAAACATTTATTTCTTGATATTGGAGGAAAAGGTGTAGGAAGAGATTCATAATGGGGATTCAGACAGATGGGGAACGTGTATTTTTTGTGTTGTCTTCAGAAAAACACAAATAAAAAAGAGAGAAAGACGAAGAGAAATAAAAAAGACGAGTAGTCGTCACTGTGCCAGAAATCTGAGTGTAAAATGTAGTATTTAGATTTGTTTGGATACAAACAGATTTTTTGCTTTGGAAATGTCAACAGCACATATTTTAGAAGAAAAAGCTTCATTGCTGAATCCTAAATACACATTTACAGAAAACTTAACTTTCATGTAAGCAATTTGTTGATAATGACACTAAAGTCACGTTGTGAGGTCGTGGGGGGGGGGGGTTTCTTTCAGTAACCCATGGACTTGGATTACGTAAAGCGATAGTGGGGGGGAGAGTGAGACATTTGCTTTACTCTTTATATTTGTACAAACACAGGGTTGTTTATGTCGAGAGACATCAGGTGTATTCGTTGGTGCGCCTCTATTTTATTGGCAAATAAATGTTTAGAAAAGCATGGACAGCCACTTCATTTGGTTTTCAGAGGTAGTTAAGTTAAGAAAGGCAGAGTTTTTATATATTTATATTATTTGGCAGGACCACATGTGGCTCACTTTTGAAATTGCATTACTTCCACTTTTGAGTATTTCACAGTCGCCTCCGGTCATACGTTTGTTTCTACTTCCCCACTAGACCTAAAGAAAAGCGGATGTAACACGTGTGAGAAGGTACGGAGCCCACGAGGACGGAGGCCCCCACACACCGTTTGGACCAGCGGTAGCAGGCCGGGCTGTGACCACAGCAGTTCATGCCGGGGATACGATGTCCTCCTGAGCGCTTATAGATCATCCCTTCTCTGTGAGAGACAGACAAACGGGGAGGCATCGTCTTAAAAAGAATATAACGGGATGTGAGTATAAAACATTACAGATAATGAGGGGGGGGTTAAAAGAAGAGAAAGCGCTCACAGTCCTTTGGGCCCCAAGTCATGAATGAAAGACAGCTGGCTGATGTCAATGAACTCCATCTGAGAATAGGAGGGTAGATAAGTGGAGACAACAAGAGGCGCTTCACAGGGAAGACAAATACTGTACATTACACACATCCAGCTGGAGGTCATGTGACCGAGCCAAAATGATCTCAATTTATATATCCATCCATCCATTGTCAAACCGCTTCAATATCATATATTTTGAAGATTAATATTACAGAACATTGTAAGCAGAATGCTGTGGCTAAACCTAGTATTAGTTTAGGGTCACACAGGTGAAGTAGGGACGGGTAACGCTTGGTATGAGTGCTACAGGCACAAATATTAAATTGCACTGATAATAAATCAGTAATTTAACACATTTCATTTACAGGAACAAATAACCATCTCACGGTTTACACCGTCTTTATCTGCAGGACATTTCACAGACTTAAAGCCCCTTTCTGCCTTAAATGAGCAGTTTATTGTGTCAGCGTAACGCAGACGCTGGGCAGTGTTGTGTGTAAACACATTAATGATCCAAGTCAACAGCCGACGTCCCACCGTGAGGTCAGAGCTTAGCGAAATGCTGAAAAACTGTTTATATTCATACATCATATCTACTTGTATACTTGCATACTAAACATCTACAGTAGCTGACATGACATATGTAGCTCCTAGTCATTTATAACACACACACAATTAGCATGAATTCGGCAGCCATTATGTGGTTAGGTCATAGTTTGCGGTGCTTAGTAGGATTACTCACAGTATGGTGATATTTGCGGTACATTGCCATCCTCAGCAGCTTGTTCAAATAGTCTTCTAATTGTCTCTGTAGAAAACACATACACTATGTTTGGCCACTGTGAGTATTTTTATTATAAAATCCAAGCGTATACACACACTTGCAGTCAGAGAGAGTTTTAGAGTATCCGTGTGCTGGTAAGGAGGTAAGTACCATGGCAACAGGCGAGTGCCAGGAGAACTCCCTGCCATAGAAGTTATGACAAATCAGGTGTGAATGAAAGAAAAAACAAAGACAAGGGGCAGAAAGGTGCAGGCATTGTTGCGACGTACCCTCCTGCTGGAGACCTGCTCATCGCGCACCAGCTCGTCCCCCCCCCCCCTCGGCAGGGAGGGCATCTCCCTCACCTCGCTCTTCCTCGCCGTCCTCCTCCTCACTGTGTGGCTGCGTGGAAACAGGAAAGGAGGAAATTAAAATGTCCGCGCTCTTCCAGAGAATCACGCTGTTTCCACACTTTGTCCTTCAAAGTTTGAAGAAAACAATTGAGCTCAGAATAGGTTTGTGCAACGGCTGTTTCTGTTGTTCCCCCATTGATCAAAGCAGGATCATTTGTTTATAACTGCAGCAGTCAGTGCTATTATTAACAGTTATAGCACCAAGGCAAAAAAACAACAGCCACCAAAGCATCCGATATGCATCCCTTCCAATAAGACCATTAGGTCAAGGTCACAGACAGCATTCAAGCGAGTACATGGCTAGAGAATAAGAGGGGGAGGGGGTTGATGGACAAAAACCAAAAAGGGGCATTAATAGGCTGCATGAAGCTAAAGTCAGGTTTTACCATAGCCCTGCATAAAGCCCACTGACTGGATTTCCCCATATCTCCTTTCTTTAGTGTGAACACAAAGTGCACACTAAGTTGTATAAGTGCCAGAAAGCTTTCTGAGTGCGGTCATCCTGGTTGCCTGGCAACTGTTGCTGAACGGGTAACACAGGAACAGTGTGCAGTTCCTGTGTTACCCGTTGCAACAAATTGATGAGTTTAGTATAAGCAATATACACACACAAATATATAGGTATGTACTTCTTTAAAGAGTAAGTACAGTAGATATGCTGGGAAGTTTCTTTGGAATGAGCCAGGGTTGATATTTCCCCTTATTTCCACTATTTATGCTCAGCTAAGTTAAAATCTTCTGCTTCTAGCTTCAAACTTAGAATACAAGAGCGGTGTTGATCTCCTCATCCAACTAAAAGCCAATCATTGAATCTCCCTCAATGAAAAACGTTATTTCGTGTGTGCGCTTTCTATTATTCATTATTGAAACCGACCCGTGGTTTTTCAAAAGGTCAACGCGATGTGTGTCTACATCTAAGCTTGTGTACGCCAGCGTGAGTCCGCGTGGGAGGTCTAACTGTGTGCGTGGAGGCACCAACCTGCGCGATGGCAGCGGGATCCTCATGAAGGTCTTGTAGGTTCTCAGCTCTCTGTGCAGCTCCATGAAGTGTTTCTCCTTCCTCTTGACCACCCAGGTGAACTCACCGTGCTTCAGCTCGATCTTAAACACCGCCGGCAGAGACTGCCGGGACACGCGCGCACACGGAGCAGTTTATTATACCGCATTCTATTGCAAACGTGATCCTCCGTCATGCTATTTGCATTAGAAAGGGTTATTTACCCAAAGGAAATGTAGTGAGTTTCTGATTATTCGCTTAATAATGCTGCCGTACCTTGTTGACGCTCCTTTGGTGCGACAGGTTGAAGCGGTCCTGTGCGGCGGTGAAGCGCTCCACCTCCTGTATCCGGGCAGTGATGGGCACTGTGGGCAGGTAGACCTTAGCGTCGGGCTCCTTAAAGCCCACTGTGGCATACACCGCTGAGAATGGGATACGACAGTCCCCTAGGAGGAGGAAGAGAGGCGGGTGGTAAGCAGGTTTGCTTTTTTGTCCCCCGTTTGTGCACGTAGGCGTAGTTCAGGCTTCTCAGGAGCGAGTGGGCGTTTTTCGGATATGCATCACCGAAAACTTTGTTCAAGATGTTTTACTTTGCAGTGTTTCCAATGTTTCGGTTTATGCTCTTAAATTCACACATAAAGTTTGCGCGATCTAAACGATTCAAAGGAAAAATCCACCCTCATGCTCTGGCATTGTTAAGATAGTTTGTCTTGTTTTTCTCAATTTTCCACACTGACATTTGAGCGTTTGCTCTTTTAGGAATAATGGATGAAGTTAAAACAAACCCAGGTTCCCATCACAGTCGTTCTCCTCAGCCTCCCCCATGTCCAGCTCTCTGGTATCCAGGCTCTCCATGAGGTCGGCCATCGTGATGCCGTCCGCTGCGTCCGCTGAGCCGCCAGACACCTCAGACTTCACCAGGTTGAGTCTACTCGTACTTGGTGGTGCTTTACCCAGCATGCTCAGCAGTTAGACCCCCGAGCAGGGCGAGCCTGCAGGAAAAGAGAACAACATTTAAAATAAAAAAGGGGTTTTAAAACATAAGCTTTGGCATAAAAAGGGGGATTTTAGACTGCGTGGGTTTGCGTGACTTTGTCCACGTTTGAGCGGTTTCCATGTGCACGTACATTACCGCCGAGAGACATTTGGTGTTCTACTGTAAGAGTCCCTTAAGGGCCACGGATATACTTCATGAAACATATCCGCCACTACGCATGTAGATACAGCTGGAGCAGGTTCAAAGGTCACGTTTGGCCACCACTCCAGACCAAAATACACTCTGAGCAGACCTGAGAGTTAACTCATTCGTTATCAGGACAAACTCTGTGTCCATCGTATTCCCTCCGGTCATTGACTTCTCTGCATTACAATTAATTCAGTAATCTGTGAAATAAGCCATTCCTTTTGATATAAAGAAAAACAACATTTGCAGACCGGCTTTCTCAGCCGTTAAACACATTTCTTTTGAGAATTAGTGGCGTAGTCTGAGATCAGAAGGGGCCCAAAGGACTTTCTCCATCACAATCAGCTTTCTTGTCCAACAAAGAGAAAAATACAAAACAAATGTTCAATGCTTGACAACTTATTTGGACACCGGAAGAGTGGCACCGACATGAGAGTATCCTCCCAGTGAGAGAGGCTGAAACCATTCATTTAGCTTCCAAGCAGCAGCTATGACTCAATCTAAATCATCAGGAGTCATTTAATGAATCACTTCATGAAGTCACGTTTTCCTCGATGAATTCCATTCAACAATGTAGCTGATAAAAGGGAGTAACTCACCACTTGTGTCTGTAACTTCAGAGATGTTCCTACTTCAATCCAGTTAATGACAAACTAACTTTCTGACTAACTTTCATTCCTTATTACTTACAGATTTATGAATCACCTCGTCCCCGTCCTCATCCCATAATCATGTGATGACGTGCAATTAATTACTTATTACGTAGCCACCCACACCACATGTATGTTGCTTTCTCATAGAAGATACTGCTTCAAAACTCCGTGGCCACTGCTCAAAGTCATTGACTTTATACGTGTTATATTATTAATTTACCACGTAGATTAGCATGATTTTAGCTGAACGTATTTATTTATATAAATGTATATATACTGTTGATTCAAAGTTTTGATTTTAATACTACGCCTCAAATAAGTCAAAGCCACTCAAAGTAAACAATAATGACCAAGAGCATTTTTGGCACTTAAAGCTTTTTACACAACAAAAGCTTAAAATTTTTTTTCCAAAAACAATTTACCATGTATGGATTATTATGTGTTAGATTAAATGAAGACAGTAAACAAACTAGCTATACTCCTCCTACATGACAAATACTAAACTGCATACTAACTATACGGTATTGACATAGGATAACTGATTATCTTATATCGTATAATTGAATCACGTCCGGCTTCGTGTCATGTTTGTCAATGTTGAGCAAGTGAATATGAACGTTCTAGTTTTACTGTTGCCTCAAAAATGAGCAACACAGGTTTCATTGTGTGCAACAAGCACTACTTCAAATGTCAAAAAACCTGTGAAACTTGTTCGGAATATGAGCTCGCTTCAAACCCGCCCCAACTTCAGCTTTTCCCCCAAAGCAGTCCGATCCTGCAACGAGCCAGACCGCCAAGCTGTCACGGTGACTGGCTGCTTCTCCATTGTTTAAAAGATGACGACAGATATGAAGACGTTGCTTTGGCGGACTTTATGTTTGTTAGTTTAAGTGCACGCAATCCGATGATAAGAAGGAAGCTTGATAAAAGTGTTTTGCAGCCGACCGTCCTCGTAGCAACAGACTGGGTAAAGCCGCGGGTCTTCACCCCGCTCCACCGAACTAAGGACTGCCAGCACAGTGTATAACGTGCACTTGGTTAGCTGGAGTGTCCCTTATCAGTAGAACTCTTGTGTTGTTTTAAACTAGTGAATTTTTCCTGCTCTCCCTGCGGAAACAGGATACGGCAGCGTGTGGAAGAATGAAAGTGCTCCAGCTACAATACATCTCTACAGGAGAGCGGCAAGAAGAAATTCCCACGAACACAAAACACCACCAAACAGTATGCTTAGTCATCCAAGACCACTCACAAACCTCCGCCTGGGTGTCGAAACAAGCAAAACACTGAGGGGAGACGCATGAGGGAAAGGAGAGACAACAGAAGAAGAAAAACTGAAAGGGGATCACATTAAAAACGTCGGTTTTAGTAGAATTATTTTCTTTTTAGAATCTTTTCTGCTTTATTGCTCTAAAATGTTAAAGGGCCTTTTCCTTCCAATTGCTTTGACACAAGTGCAGTGTACTGTATTTCAACTTAGTAGTAAAACACTGTAGTTCTCACAGAAATGCTGTATCGGCCTGATGCAACACGACGAGGACGCGGGGAGCGGCACGCTGTCTGATCCCAGCTCAGTCATCCAAAAAGTATTTCACAATATGAAAAGATGATCAAATGTTCCCACCTACAGCGCTCTGATTAAAGCAGACAGAAAACAGTCATTGAATAAATGAACTTTTACTGGAAATGTACAGCGAAGGCCGTCACACAGCGGTGAGGCGGAACAATCAGAAGTATTGTTACGCGTCTTGCATTAACTCGTCACTATAACCAGTTAAGGGCAGAATGGCAAACACAGAAAGAGTCTGTTTTGCTTCTTGGTCTTCAGTCAACAGGGAGCAGCAGCACTAAGGGATGACGTTTTGGTGATTCATTCAAATTCTGGACCGTCATGTTGCCGTGGGAACAGAAGACACAAAACAAACAGAAAATTCCGTTCTACGGTGGAGGAAAACAATCTGCTTTAAAGAGGAATTTTAGTAATTACCAACCCAGTGTTTCCTTGAAGAACATTGTTTTTGTTGCATGTGATGAATAATAATAATAATAATAATTATAACAATAACCCTAACCCTTCTTTTAAACCTTACTAAGACAGCGGGAGACTCTCTGTTTTATTTCAGTGTTTTGACATAATTTTGCTGTTAAATGCAGCCCTCTTTTACTGCTACAAATTATCGAGACCTTTCTCTGTTTTTTGGATCATTCGTTCCCTCTGAAGGCATTTTGGTAAAACTACATTTTCTTTGGAAATTCAATATGAGTGGTAAGGTATTCCTGTGAGGACTTGGCACCGACTAGATTCATCTCCCAAAACGCCCAAGTCTAAAATCAAAATCCACCATATTTATCCCAGTTTAACATTAAACCTAATGAGCACAGCCTGCGCAAGGGAGAAAGATACATTTCACTTCTTTTAAGTGAAAGTGCTTCTGTTTGGAGCTAAAAATGATCGGGACGAGTCAGTAACTCGTGAACACGTCCAGTGAAGGATACAGCTTGAAAGGTCCGTTCCTCTGAACAAGATCCAACACGCTGACACAGAGCATGTGGGCACGTCTCCTGTTGTCTCTGCACTTCCTTCATTCGTCCAATCATGTCTCCTTCTGATGGTTTCCTCAATAAGGATGTTATTTCAGCTTTAAGTAAGGATTCCTCTTATTATTTTACCAAACTTTTAAAAAAACGCAGCGTTTTCAGATTCCCAAGCAGAGTTTGACCCGTGGTGAACCAGCAGTGGCTGGAAGGAGCTCACTTTGCTGTGTTACACACACACAACGATGTGTGCGAGGCTACTACACAACGCTGCGTATGGTGTGTCGACCAAATCAGCCCCTCTGCAAAGTGTTCATATAGAACATGGCCGAAAGACATCAATCACACCCAGACTATTTTGGAAGTGACAAATTGCTACCGCGTAACCAGAAGCGTCCTTTCTCAGGCTACAAAGCTTGTTGTCAACAGAAGGAGCCCAGTTTGACAAGATTTTTTTGAAAACAACGAGGACCCGTGTGCGTCGTATTAATTGAGACCGCAGACCATTGTTAAGAGTTGTATTGCTACCACAACCACAAACAGGAAAAAGTGAATATTAAGCCAACAGCAGTAGGAGGGTAAAATGGATTGGACGACAACACGCGTTTTCAAATATGAAAAATCACGGGTAGAAAACTCGCCGACAAACCCTTGTGCAGGTCAACCTGGCTGTCACACCTTTTAGTTAGGCGACTTATTAGTTACCCAACACAAGCTTAATGCTTGAGTTTTGTATTCAACGGTTTTGCGGTTTTCAGATCTTAATTATGACACCTAACATTCAACATTCATATAACACCCTCAATTCAACCTTCCTGTGTCCATGACACTGCAATGTGCAACATTTTGCGAGCGCCACTCTGCGCCTCGAAGTCAGTTCATTTTACCTCCTTATCTTTGCTCAAACAACTGAATGAATATCAAATGTTAATACATCCAACTTACACATACTATCAAAATCAACTGCTAGTAACACATCCTAGCATTTTATTTATTCTTCAAGGATAAAGACAAGCGCTACGGACAAAAAGATCCAAAAGTTCCTAAACAGGAGAGATTGGAAGGAGAGGGAGATATGAAAGGACAACTGTGGTTTTGGAGTAAACTTTTACAAAGCAGTGTAATTGTAAGGCTACGGGGCATTTCACTGACGTGTGCCTGCCATGATGCGGTTACAAGGAAGAAGGACTACAACATTTGCACCTACAACACAACCATTGCAGGCTACTGAAATAGCATCGTGTGTGGCTGCTTCCCTCGTGGTGTGTGAAGGACTGAAACCGGGCCCGTCTTCCTCACATACCAACACCGCTTCAGCGGAAATGAACATCAATGAAACTGTTCAATATCACTTCTATCGATTTGGTAGGTTTAATTTATTATACTGTTTTTTTTGTTTAAAAATATGAAAACATTTGAGATGTGTTTTGTATGTGGATAGAAAACATATCAATGGCCTTGAAATAAACAACGCCCGTTGCTTGTTTTCTTGACTGGAGCATGCAAACTTTTTATGCAAAGTATTTATGACAGTGCAATTACCTCCCTAAAAATAGATAGATAGATAGATACTTTTTAGATACTATTGATCTCTCAAGAGGGAAATTTTGGTATCACATCAGCATGTACAGGGAAGAAAATAGAATAAAAATATACACATTATACACAATATAATAAGATAGAAATATTAAATTATTAAATTAAATTAAATAAACTAAAACTGAAACAAAAGAATAACCTTCCAAAAGAGACAATAATAATAACAATTTGTAAAAAAATAGCCCCATGCTTGACCCACACAGAGGTTAACTGCAGAAGGGCCTGGTTTGCCCCAAGTGGTTTGAACGTCTGCACGGGAAGTATCACATTTCAGAGAATTGCATAAACGTGCATACGTGGTAAAGCACTCACTGTAACGGTTGCACTGCTACAGTACCCAACCTGATGGAAAACAGCGGAGGGTTATCGTTCTCCTCCATTGCAACATAACGCTGCCCACTTCCTGCTTCCTGTCCTGTTGTCATGGCGATCGCTTCAACAGCCAAAGAGCTGCTCTTATATATACACACATATATATATATATATAAATATCAACAGAAACTGCAGAGTGTCTCCCTCGCTCTCCATGTGCCAACATCCCTCTTAAATGTCAGTTAGTGGGAATCGATGGATTGATGAAGAAATACAAGAACGTTGAGTGGGAGAAGAACTATGGAGGTTTAATTAATGAATTATCTGTCTGCATGCGACACATGGAACATGAAGTTCCTCACGCTGAGCCATTAAGAATAAATCGGCCAAAACCTTCCTTAATTCTAAAAAAACCCAAATCCATTACTTTTACACAATCCCTTTCTAATCAGGTTCAGAAAAAACGTGGTTCGTTTCGTCATTTATCTTGGCTGAGGAAAAACAATGAGGTTGTAAATTGCAGCTACCATAAAGTTGTTTTGGCTACAACAAGCAGCAGTAAACTCTTTCATACAGACAATCAATAATTCCTGAGGGACCAATGATCCTGTGGCACCATTGAACCCAATCTGAACAAAATACTTTGGTGTATCAAGCCGAATATGTCAGATTGTGGTCTTTCAGGAGGAAAAGGGTAAATCACTGGCTCGCGTTTAATTAGACATGACAGGAAAGTAAAGGCAACAAATACTTCATCACAAAGTGGTGGAATGCAATCCCGGTTACAGTAGAAGCAGACGTTTCCTTTTTAGGACCAATGACTCATTTTCAGTTTCAGTATTATAACTGCTGTAAATCTCCTGTGCATGCAGGTTGGGATGGATAAAACTGGATGAAATATGATGTTACGAGTAGTCTCAAAAACAACTCGATTTAGTTTTAGATCCTCACCTACGACCAGTCGGACCAGTCTGTTGCATCCAAACCAGACTTCTTTAGCAGTGATCTCCAGCTGCCTGTTGATTCCATCCTTATCTGTGTGTTTATTCTTTTTTGTCATTCATCCAAAAAGAGTCAAGAATTGAACTCTGCAGGTATGTTGCCAATTTCCCATGGCAGCTGAAACTCCTACTTTTTTTCCCCCTGTGCGCTGGTTTTCTGGCCATTTGAGTGTCAAATTGTTGAAGAGAACACTGGAGGCGGGCTGAGCATCGGCACTGCGGTGTGTCAGTACCGGCTGAGGCGCCGTCGCTCGTTGGGCGACCAAGTGCTTGGAGAAATAATTCACCTTCGAAATGCATCATCTATTCCTGGATGCAGCATTATAAGCTTGACATTTAAAAAAGTATGTGAATGATTTAATTGCACGTCAAATTGGAGTAATGGACTACCACTCACGCTAACATGTCACAATAATAAAAGGTAACACAAACCTTGCTTGGCATTCACACATTGAGTGGTGCCAAGCTCCCCGTGGTGCAGATGGTACAAAGAAAGAGAGAGAGCCAGTGGACGGAGGGAGGGAGGGAGGGGGAGAGAAGCAACAAGAGAGGTCTGTAACACGTCTCTGCCTACACTAAAGCTGCCTATTATCTAACCCTTCACACCATTAATGAGGGGAGGATGGTGTTGAGGTGGTCAGAGATGCAGAGAAAAAGACATACAGTAGATGCCAGAAAACGAGAGGCCAAGAATCCTCATGGCCGGTGTGGCGTTCTGCCGGCGGGAACACAAGGCATCATTGTGCTGAAGGAGAGATGGATCTCCCTCTCTCTCCCTCTCTCTCCCCCTCCAATCAGCAGCCTGACTCAACCCTGACCAACCTAGAACCACAGAAGTGACTCTCTCACCATGATTACCGGGATGGGACAGAAAGTACGCAAGAGATTCGGCCTTTCGACCCGAAGGGGTCCGTTCAAACAAATGATCTCCAGCAGGTCACGTAAGTAGGTGCCACCCCGATACAATGGAGCTAAATGGAATTTCACTCGTGTTGCCAATAGCAACAGCGGTTAGAATAATGATTGATGAATATTGATTTGTGAATCACTTGACGGTGGCACACGGAGTAGAGAGGGTGCGCTGGTTCGAAACCCACGGCTGCTCCACGTCGCATGTCGAAGTGTCCCTGAGCGAGACACCGAACTCAGCCCACTGCTCCCATTGTGTGGGACGGGTTAAATGCAGAGAACAATTTCCTGTGTGTGTAAAATAATACTGAAAATGTCTTCTTCTTCTTTTTCTTCTTCCTCTTCGTGAGCACCATAAATCAAAATATAACTTTGGGTTAGTTTGAAGAAATCATTTACAGTTTTCCTTAAAATTCCTTGAGCTGATCTTGAACTTGGACCTCACAGGACACGCGTGTATCAGGTAGCAATCACAGATGCAGGTGCATCAAGATGGTGAGATATTGCTGTGCCATTTGACACCCATCTAATAAACTCACATCTATTTTTGCATCTCACGGACATCCTTTGTCCTCGACGGTCCGTCTTCTTTGGGAAACCAGTGGTGTCAATAGAACTTCCCCTCGATTCAAAACCTGTGAGGGATCACTGAGTATGTCGACCCACACCCCCTCCCAGTACTCGCTACAAAGAGTGTTTAAAACACTGCGTTTCCACCACGCGGTATACCAGCCTGTAGTCCACATCTGCAACACACTCACAGTGTACAACATCTGCAGGCCGGGCTAGAAATAGTTCTTAGTTCATACTTCCTGAGTTAAGCGTTGCAAAAAGGCTCTGGCCACATAAATGTCTGTGTAGTGGAGTGAAATTCTCACACCCTCAAGATTAATGATTGATATGTACCACGGAGCAAGATGGAACCCCATGGTACGGGTCAATACCGACAAACACACACGCACACACACACTTCGGGCAGGAAAAACACAACCAGAGTTTGGGTGTGTGTGTGTGTGTGTGTGTGCTGGCACCAATACTTAGAAAAAGGTTTAAGGTCATCCTCGTGTTACTGCCTGTGGCTCTGGAAGACCTGTGAATGCTAGAGGTCAGTATGCTAGCATGTGTGTGTTCAGCTGCAGAGACAACAGGAGAAAAGACACAAGACAGGAGAGTGGAATGGGAGAGGAGGAGGGGGGGGCAGAGAAAGAAAAGCAAAATCTCTCCAGTGTTCAGTGACATTCCAGCTGCAGCAACGAAATGCAACAACAGGGTGTAAGAAGAGGCCAATAGGACAGTACACACACACACGCATTGTGCAGCATTACACACAACTTGATCCGGTATTGCGTGAATGAAAGATGCTCCTCCATCAGCTGGAGGACCAAGGAACCCATCTGCGCACCGCTGCACCTCGCCACGTTGAGTACAGATCTGCTGCAGGCGCACGGCCAACTCAAACACGCCACATCCTCCTGCACGATCTCACCCACGCCCCCCCCCCAACACACACACACACACACACACACACACACACACACACACAAGCAGGGCTGCAGAGAGTAACACGGACGCAAATAGAACCAGACATAGAGACAAGCGGAGGGGAGGGGGGGGGGGAGGCATCACCAACCTGCTCTCTGTGCGGGCGCGACGCCCACATGGCGGGTGGTGAGGTCGGTCCGCCGGGCTTCACTGACGGGACGCGACGCTAAGAGGAAAACTCCAACACGCGCGCAGACGCACACACACGCGCGCGGCACCAGCTCTACTTCTGCTCGGGAACTCGGGAACTATCGCTGAGAAAAACTCTCAGGGAGACAGTCCAAACTCCTCGGGGAGGGAGGGGACTGTGAAAACTCTGGACCAATCACAGCAGCCGCTTCCTCCCACGGACCTCTGCTATTGGATAGCGGGGGAAAGGGGCTTCTGGACAGTCGGCGGAGTAGGAGGAGGAGTCCTCTTAGGAGAAAATACTTCCACTGGCTCTGTCTACTCATCATTCCACCACACGCACTTCCTTTCTCTGTTTTATTGTCTTACCCGATACTCTCTCTCTCTCTCTCTCTCTCTCTCTCTCTCTCCATATATACATGTATGTTTATTGATCTGCATAAATGACAAATTCACCACAAAAAGTAATCAGAAACTAGTTGTAGTTTTGCATAATGTGTTACCGGCCAAAAGAGCATGCACCCTCGTACCACATACAGTGCAAAACTTAACATTAGTTTGGCATAAATGGGAACTCACACATGTGCACATCCAAAGGTGCATGCGCAAATTCAAACCACATCTCTTCTTCCATCGTGTGGAGGAGGAGATGCACTGCATCCCTCACAGTCCAAACACACCGACTCTCACACGACAGGGACTTCACCCTGTACTCCCACTCCCACACCCTGGAAGCATCATTTAGACAAAGAGGCCACACAAATCCATCCCAGTATAGCCCAGTTATCCCAGTTATATTACACCAGGAAATAAAACCATATAATAATATATACCCGGCCGAAAATGTATCACAGGACACCATGGGTGACCATGACACAGTTTACCGCCATAAAGAGCCCAAACAGAGAAAGCACTCCTGACACTTACAGTAAATGCAGCCGTGACATTACAGTGATAATACCTAATACTGCTGTTTTTACATCACGTTGTCCCAGAAACAGTCCAATTTTGCCATTTTGTCTGAGTAAACAGTTGCTATTTCAGCGTGTTGTTTGGCTATTATCATCATTACCACACTTGATAGGAGCGCAAGCCCACAGAAATGATTACACAAGATCACACCATATAGATGTCCGAACTATACACAAACACACACAAACACACAGTACAGTCAGGGACACACATGTTGTATGACCCCGGTTAAATACATACCAGATGTGATGAAGAGGTTTCACGACTGCGGTGAAAGACTCAAGTGTCCAGCTCAGGTGATCTCTCTTGTCTCCCTCTCTTTTTATCTCACTCTTTCTCTCCCTCTCGCATCATGATTCAGTGGTCATAAACGTAATGTTATCTGCTAGAAAACCCAGTGCAAAGGTCAGACGGATACAAATATTTGAACCATCACCATAGCTTCAGAGCGGTAACGGTGAAATTGGTCGGTCGCTTCACTGGTTCGGCCACAGACATTAAGAATATAGGAAACAACAATGTTTGCCAAGCATTGTTGTCTTAACAGTCTTAAACACATTATTTTTTTTCACAGTTGACTTTGTGGAGACAACATGGTGCTCCTTCTGGACCCGCCCTGTCAAAGCCATAAATGCAGGTGTGTTAACATACCGTTATGAATGTGTCACCATGAAGTGAGAAATTCAATAAAAGCATGCGAGTGTGCCAACCAATCAAGTTTGATATGCCACAGCTTTCAAAATGAAGATGAAACGCAGCATAGATTTTGTCCTGTGACTATAGATTTAGCAGAATCACTTACGGCTGTTTGGACTCTTGTAAATGTCCAGGATTCAATGTTTTTATGATATCTTTAAATCTTGTTTTATCATCAACATATTCAAGTCAAAAAAACACATTCCCTGCCACTCCGTATCTTTGACACTTTCTTGTAGTGCTTTAACGTCCTCACTGAGAAAAAAAAGTAGTGGAAATTATTTCTTTGCATTTTTACTTTCCGGGCAATAATAACAGTATCTTATCTTTTTTATAACCACAAGGTTAAGTTATAGGGCAGGGGTGTCAATCTCATTTTAGGTTTGGGCCAGATACCGAGCCGATTTACGTACAGCCTTGTTAAGTTATTCTGTTTGTTTGAAAGGCTTCAAGCTTCAAACCCTTTTCCTCAACTGCTGGCAGTAAACATTCAACAGGACTAATCTGGCTGACAGGTGGACTTTTCACCACATTGTGAACCTTGTTCCCCCTTAAGAGCCATGTTGTCCTTTGCTGTGAGCTTACTGGAGCTTTAAATGTATTCTGGTCCTCAGACTGATCACAATGCCATCAAAGTCCTTGTGGCAATGTAATTAGATTTGATCGGTGCAGTGCAGATCTGAAAATTGAAGCATACACGGTTTAACCCCGGCAAGCTGACACTGAATGTCAAATGATAAACCAAAAAGGCTCTTTTAAAAAGCATTATTTGAATATGCAGCAAATCATTTTAAGGAGAATAAGTTGGATAGGATCTTATTTCACACAGATTTTAATAACCCCGTTGAAGGATCAGCTGCAGAGTCAGACTTTTGGAGTTGTTGGTCATTTTTTAATTATTTTTCAATGACAAACTCCCATTTGGAAGAGTTTGTGAAAAGGTTACCCTGTGGTGACCCACAAGTAACGCTGGGGAGACATTCACTAGGGGACTGTACCTTTAAGGGAAAGTTTTGGATGTGAGGTTAACGTGCTGTCTGCAGTAGTTCTCACATGTTGTTCTGAGTGTTGAAGTGGAGAGTAAAGTTGACTCGCTGACACGCATCTCCGTCTCCTGTCTCGTCACTTTACACCCTCCACAACCCCCTCATTCCCCTTATGCTCTCTGCACTAAAGCTCCTGTAGGTGGCGTTGCAGCCCCTGGGCTGACTGAGGAGCCCCACATCACCCTCCCTTGAGCGGCACCACTGCACCTGCACATGATGTTCGGCACACTGGGAGTCAGGATGCGCACACTGGATACGCACCGTCACTAGAGGAGCACATATGGAAAAAAACAGGATATATATTTTTTTAATTGTTAACTACTTTATTCGACTTAATCCGTTGTGGTTTCACTTGCCATGATGTGGAGGGTGAGTCGTTCCACCCTGGTGCTTGTGACTTTTATAAAAGTCTCTCCGTTCCGCCGCACAATATTTGTCTTTACTGTGATTGTCGTTCATCCGTTTGCGTTTGGCCAAGTTTGAGCTGCGGTGGCCATTTCCAGGACAGATGTTGACCACTGCTGCAGCATCATTGCGACCTCGGCTCTGACTCACCATGACATGCTGCCCGGGCACTCGTCCCCTGATCAACTGTTTCGTTTTTTTCTAAAGCGCAAACAGAGACGCGTCGTTGGTGATGGGAACTCTTTGGGACTCTTTGGCAAATGAAGGACGCTCCTGTTTTATTTCTTTCACAGCCCGCTGCTCATGTTGTCTCTTAGTGACCGAAAGGACACAGGACATAACTTTTCATCAAGTTATTTTTTTTAATATATACATATTTGGATAACAGATATTTCATTTTTCTACTGCATCTCGTTCGATTGGAATAAACCAACCCGCGTTCATTTCGGTAGGTGATGTCTAACTCACAAATGTCCACCATGTAATTGTATTTTCGTTTTTTGGGGGGGGGGGCTTCTTCTGAACAAGTAGCCTATTTTCAATACAAAACACGGTTTGACCACTTTAGATTGCGTATTGCAAATGAAGAAGATAACTCGGATCGAACTAAATACCTTCCTATTTTCGCAGGACGCTGACTGAGGAATCTCAGAAGGTCCCTGCACGAGTTATTTCAGCTTCATTGCAAACAAGGTTTCCTAAAGGTGAAACGCAGATTTTACGCACGGCGGCCAACATTTCCCGCCCCCTTCCTCAGCCGACGATGGACGAAAAGCGCTGCGCAAAGTGCCGTGAGAGAACTTAGATCTAGGGTGCGTTTAGCCGCCTGGGCCAAGCACGGCCCCGTGAACGTACCCGCGCGACGACAGCATGCCCTCTTGGCCCAACCTGTCGGAGTGCCTCCCCCTTAATTGCAGCTGGGAGGAGACCCACAACGCCACGAGGATCAATGACTTTGGCGTGCCTCCTCTGAACTACTACTCAATTCCTCTCCTCACGGTCATCACTGTCGCCTGCGCTATGCTGTTTCCAGTCGGGGTGACCGGGAATGTCATGACCATTTTGGTGGTTAGTAAGTACCGGGACATGCGCACTACTACCAACCTGTACCTGTGTAGCATGGCCGTGTCAGACCTGCTCATCTTCCTCTGCATGCCACTGGACCTCTACCGGCTGTGGAGGTACAGGCCCTGGCGTCTAGGGGCCGTGCTCTGTAAGCTCTTTCTGTTCGTGTCAGAGTCATCCACCTACTCCACCATCCTGAGCATCACCGCACTGTCAGTGGAGCGCTACCTGGCGATCTGTTTCCCCCTGCGGGCCAAGGCCCTGGTCACCAAAAGACGCGTGCGTGCTCTCATTCTCATACTGTGGACGGTGGCGTTATTCAGCGCCGGGCCCGTGTTTATCATGGTGGGAGTGGAGCGTGACAGCGTGTGGTCAAACTTGGGCTCAGGAATGAATTATACTGATTTCTCCCTGGAAAACACCCGGGAGTGTAAGATTACGCACTACGCAGTGGTGTCGGGCCTGGTGGAGGCCATGGTGTGGTTGAACTCCGTTTTCTTCTTCATCCCGGTGTTCTGCCTCACAGTGGTTTACAGCCTCATAGGCCGTCGGCTGTGGCAGAGAAACAGAGAGACGAGCATCAGCTCCCGCGTGTCTCACCGGGACAAAAGCAACAGGCAGACCATCAAGATGCTCGGTGAGTGAGCGCAGCGCGCGCAATTACGCACGTTAAATAGGACAATAACTTTCACCACTAGATTAAAACTGATTTCTACATTGAATACAGTTCCAATCCCCCCCCCCCTTACACACACACACACACACACAAAAATACACACCATTGTGCTAACCTCCCTCCCTCTCCTCCTGCAGTGGTGGTGGTGGTGGCCTTCGTGCTGTGCTGGTTGCCGTTCCACGTGGGTCGCTACGTGCAATTTCGATCTCTGGACAATCCGTCCCCGCTGCTGTCTGTGTTGTCCGAATACTGCCAGTTGGTGTCCGTGGTCCTCTTCTACCTTAGTGCCGCCATCAACCCCATCCTCTATAACACCATGTCCTGGAAATACCGGGGCGCGGCGGCGCGCCTCTTCGGGATGGCCGACAATCAGCCGCCACGAGGCCGCACGGCCAGCAGCATGAAGGGAGACGGCTCCAACGGCTGGACGGAATCCACAGTCAGCTTCTAAATGTAGGACTGTCAAGGGAAGTGGATGTTATGTTAAAAGCGAACTGTCATGAGTTGATAACACTGAGCTAAGATCCGTTACTTATTTCGGCCAGGGCGAGTTATGTGTGAGCGAGCCTTGGCCACAAAAAAGGAGAGAAGAAAAGCGTGAGCAACAACAACAACAACAACAAAAACAACAATAATCCACCACCCACTCTGTCTACATGCGTCGATAGAACTTTTTTTCTTGTTGGATTATTTCAGCAACTGCCCGCTTTTTCATTCAACAGCACCGTCTGCAGCATTTCAAATGTACGACCTGAGGGCGGCGCATGCGCGAATACACCCATATAGATATAAAAGACATTTAACTGCCTTATAATGTATTCATACTCTGGATGACAAAGAAACCACTGTAGAGCTTGTGGCACTCCTCTGTACTCCTTCAGAGAGGGACAGCAGTGCAGTGTGTGCGTGTGTCTGTTTGTGTGTGCGTGTGTTTCTGAAAGAGAAAAAGAACTAAGTAACATTTGCACGTGTGTTAGTGATTACCTGTAAATGATTAAAGAGGGTGTGAAGATTTCCCCTTTATTCATTTGAACCTTCTGAAGGCTCTGTGTCTTGTAAATGAAGTCCAAGCTGTGATGATGCTGCCAAGAAGAGCACGAGCGTTGCGGTAGAGTTCCTGTAGCTTTGTGCTGCACAGAATGGGGGTTACGTTTGGATTTTGGCTCATGGGAGCCACAGAGAAAGATGATTCTGAGATAATTTACAGAATTCATGATTCTGTCTGTTGTTTTACAATTATACTTAATTCTTGGTAAATGATCAAAATCCCTCAAGCCGCAGGTTGTTGCTACTAACAAGGGGAGGGTTTTTATAAGGTATCTTTAGATGAAGTGTCAGTTTGTGCATTAGATGAAGAAAAGTTATTGGTGACACTGTAAAAAATAATCATAGTTTGAGTGGACATAAATGCCTCAATGTTATGAATCTTTTGAGCTGTGCACCATTCAAATATTGTTCATTTCAGCCATCTCAGGTGTGCTGTTGTCTGCTAGCTTTGTGCATCACAAGGCCTTTTCTGTTCATTGCAGTCAGGATCCAATCATAAAACACGCGTAGCACGTTTGGCTGATTTGGCAAGCTTTCCTATGCTTCTTGAAGCCATGTTCAACTCCGGTATGTGATGGAAACTGTTGGGGAGGTGAAGCTATTTCTTAATTTCTCACCAATCAAACCTTCATAAAAGTACAACAGTCAACCTGAAGTATTAGCTGTCCTGTGGATTCTTCTGTTGCATGAACATGTTCGGTGTGATTAAATCAAAAAGGCTCGATGTAATTTGTGTCTCACTTGTCTTGTTTATTGATTTGCCAAAAGCTAGACTTTGAATTGTTTCAAATAAAAGATTGCATTGATGCCCAGTAGAAATATTTTTCATGGGTAACTTTATTGTGCATGATGATGTTTAAACCAAAATAGAACCACTCAAATATGCCAAAGTTGCCAACCTATACAATGCTATTCTACAAGAATATTTTTTTTAAATATTGTTTTCTTGTAATGTGTTTATGATGGGAAAATATATATATATATAAAATATAATAATATATAATATATATATATATATATATATATAAAATATAATTTTGTAAAGTCTAACAATCACCTTTACGGAGGACGAGGATGAGTGAACTATCTACAAGGGATTTTTTGTGTGCTTGCTATAACTTGTAAATAGACGCCTTGTATTATTATAGAGTCAATGTTTTACACTCAGATGGTTTTAGCAGTTCAAATCACCGCAGCAGCCTCCACTAATCTGCACTGGATTTCACAATATGGCCTCCGGGCGCTAAAGAATGTATCTCTGTTTAAAAGAAATGTTTCTGACTGTACATACTGATATTATGACATACTATTTATCAATCTAAAGTTGAATTAAAACAGTAAAAGTTCATTCATATTTTCTTTTCTTTTTTGAAGATGTCTGTAACATCTACTGGGTAATGTACATGTCAATGATGAAGTGTTGTAAAAGTAAACAGAAAAACTCACTTTCTCTTTGTTTTTTCTCTTTTTTTATTTATATTTGTATTCTTCTGGTATGTATCCAGTATGCATGTGGTGCACGTTGCAAACCAAGAAGTAAGTTGGGAAATAAACAAACTCCTTACCATTAATCCTCCATGCAAAATAGACATCATTGAAGTAAAAACCACACCGCTGCCTGCTGCACCTGACTAGCTGGATTGAAGTGGTCTTGTGCTCAGGAAGGTTCCTGAGTGAAATGACCCAGAAGTAGTGTAAGTGGCTGCCATGAAAAGAGATGTCTGAATTCTCTAATGCTCCTTTAGCAAAGGATCCTCTGGACCATCCCTTACAAAAGGAAGGGAGATAATTCCGTACCACAATGTTCATTCGGCCGTTGAACATTGTAAACATCATGACCGAGACACGCAGGTCATGCATGTAACCGTTAGCATAACATTTACATTGCAACCTTGTTTATAAAGGAATACTTTGAATGACTCAGCACTGTAACAACACATGGACGAAGGCACCTAAGAGGCTTCTTTGTAGTCCATCTTTGGAGAAATGTAGTCTTGCCACTGCACACCGACGTCACTAACATGCGTCTCCCGTCGCATCAGAACCATGTAGCTTAGTGAAAGCACGGTCGGATTCCCTGAACAGCGCGGTGGTCTTTTCCTGACTCCTCATGAATTCTCCTAACCATCTTTCCTTAACATTTTCCACAGAGGTCAAGGAAAAGTTAGGAGGTAATCTTTTTTACTTTGGAATCCAGCCTCTTCATTTTTTACATATGTTCCTGCTATACTCCATTATGTAAATTATGTAAGGGAATAACACCACTCAGTTGACTGCAAGCTTAACACAGAGACACAGCAGTTTGATCTCTATCATCCGCGCTGGCGTCGTACTTTGGGCGAAACAAGGCTCTGCCCCCCCACCACCTAAGACACCTTCAAAGACAGCAGCCGCTGTCCTCAGGTGCCAAAGAACCCAAAGGTTCCCTCATTGATCAACATCGGTTACCTCGTAGAACACATGAAGCATCTTCAAAAAAGAAGCATCTAAAAGGGTTGTAGAAAACCTCAAAAGTAAATGACGATTTCAATTAATTATATAAAAAGTGACTCGTAGAAGATGGTTGGTGGGTGAATGATTGGTGAGTAGAGGGAGGAGTGGGAAAGAACAGGAAAGAGGGGGCTTTCTATTCAAAACAATTGTGCGATTCAAATGGATAATAAAACAAAAGATGACAGAAGGGAGGTTTAATCAATGAGTCAGACATAATGAGGGTTTATTTAGGTGTGGGCTGTGCAGTAGTGGGTGAATGAATGAGACAAAGAGGGGGAGGTTTGGACTGAATAGGAGTTCACATCTCTCTCAATCTGTATCAGCGTGTGCCTGTAGTGTAAATTATACTGTTACGTATTCACTTGATTTGGTAAACAAGCGGGTCGAGGCTAGGACTGCTTATTTCCAATTTTCCAGTTTCCAAGCCAGTTTCGCAACACGGACTTGTGCAACTTGCAATCGCACCCTGAAGGGAGCTGAAATTAATTTGGTGCCTTGATTTAGCAAAGTGTCGGCCGTCTTTAGAGCAACCTTCTGATGGTGACAAAACATCCTGCGGTAAGCATCATGGAAACGTTTACATGATGCTTAGTACATTTAACATGTTCCTTATCTACATTTGGTGTAATTAGGTGAACAGGTATCGACTTTGTGGCCCTGGTGATGTAGCTTGATTATTAACAGATCGTGAGGTGAGGTTCTAGGTCTCATCCGGAAGGGTAGAAGGCCAAGAATTCCAGCATGTCCGTCCAAATTTCCATTGAAATCCATCTACACAAAACATTTTAGCTAAAAGGCCAAATGCTCACCTCATGGTGGGGCTAGAGGAAAAGCTAAAGGATCCCCAAAGTCATCAGGCTTCATCGTCTTGGAACCATGAATTTCACAAGACCACCAAAAGTTGGCCAGATAGTTCAGTTTGAACTAAAGTAAAGTGACGCGTTGTTTGTTTGTCGTGGTGTTGCGATGATTCTTTGCTGAGAGGAGATGGACGCTGCACGGTTGTCTTTTGCTCTAGTCCGTCATCCATCAAGCTGTTGTCCTTCTGCGATCAGACTTTCCATTATGAATATAATTTACCATATAAAGTCACTTAAATTGGGCTTTTGGCCTGTAATTCCCGCGTTACCAAAACCCTGATTGCTTGGCCCTCCAGTATTACTCATTCCACGTTGTACTGTGAGGTAGAGCGAGTTACCGCGTGGCCGCTGCTTACACTGCACTTCTCAACAACAAGGGTTTCTAGTCCCATTGACCTTCCAACGTTAAACCGAAGGAAGACAAAAGGTACGCTAATGGAAGTGTTTTTTTTTTTCTCCTACCGCCTATTTAATCTTAATACCACTTTCGAGAAACCCGTGCGGACGTTAACACAGAAGGTCAAAGACTATCATTCCCGCCGTTGTCCTCTAGTCGCTGAAGAATGAGAGGAACTGCAGCGCAGCACATCTGGAGTCGATGGTCGCGAGTCTGATTTACTCTCCTCTGCATCTGAAGTCACAGGAGTGTAAATCCAGCTCGGACACTTCTTTACACCGATAGTCAGGCTTTAATGGAGCCACTGTACTTCCTCTCGAATGAAGTGTGACAAAAGACAAAAATGTCTTCAATTACATTGACGCGTCTCTGTGACATTTAGGCTGTCGTCCACTTGAGGAACTACGGTTTTGAGACTATTACTCATGAGCTAAAGGTCTGTGATATTAATCTTGATTACTACTCAGCTGTGTTCAACGGTACATAAAAGTGTAGCTGAAGAGAGCATAATGGTCACAATCTCATTTATCTTGAAGATAAAAATCAATACTGCTGCACAACGGCCAACGGCCAGTCTTTATCCGTGAAAAAATGTATCCTTACAAAGGATGAGACCGTGCACAGAAGTATACGTAGAGCCGTTTATGGGTATAAGTGCTGATGAATAATGACGGACACAATAAAACATACAGACGCCAGTCAGAAAAGAAAATCAAAACATTTATTGGGCATAAATATATTATATATACGCTACCGATACAGTTACGTCTTACATACATAGGGTAGTATTTGCAAAAATCTATACATTAAAATTGATATGGCAGTTTCTTTAATATAATGCATATGAAAATGTCTAACATTTACAATACAAGAAGAAATGCATGAATTTTTTTTTCTCAATTCGTAGACCATGACAACATTGGAATGTTTGTTTTTTAAATTGTGAGGTAAAAATATGCTTAATTTTTTGTCTCGCTTAAAAAATAGTTAAATACCTGTGAGTGTCTGTACGTTTGTCAAATCGCCAAATTCGCAGTCAAAATTCTCTACTTACTGTAAAACGTACAAAAGAAAAGAGTAATTAAGTAATCAGAAGGCACGGACGTGGGGTTTGCTGGGCAAAAAAAAAGAAAAGAAACGTCTCTCATTCTTGACTGAATAGCCAAATGTGCAGGAGCTGCAGGGTACGGCTGAATGGGAAGGGTGTCTTGCCTCAATGTTATTAATCTTTAATCTTTAAAGTTATTAAGCAGCAAATCACCTGCTTTTTAAAAAATAAAAGAAGAGAAAAGCACATGACGGCAGCACCCTTCCCACAAACACACAACCTTTCAGTTAACGTCAGACTTCCACACCACGTGACAACGGGACCGCCCCGAGCTCGCCCAAACACCTCCGCTCCGAACGGGGGGGAATAAGGGGGACTGTGAGTGGGCGACTTCACATAAAGGTGCGAGAGGACGAGACCACTCACACAACGTTATGTTGTCGACTACAATGCAACGGGATATGTAGGCACGCCGTGAGCCCAGGACGTGTCCTTTCTTTTGTTGAAAAAAAAACAAAAAAAACAAAAACGTACAGGACCATACTTCAGTAATGCCAATGTCACAGTGGAGCCAACGACAGAATAATGCCAATGAATGTAACAGACGGCGTTGGCAGTAGGGTTTGGAACGATGGACCAATTTCCTCTCGCTCTATTTAACCTCATCAAGACTAATGCTCGGCATAAAAAAAGTGCTTCAACTCTGTTAGTCGTAATGTATTACCGTCTCGTTCTATAGCTCTATAGATATCTCTGTCTATCATCTCTTAGCAAAATACTGGATACAAAATACTAACTACTGCTATACCAGCACTAGCCTGAACAAGGAATCGGTAATATTATTGTCATCATCTGCCGGAAATCATCGTATGATTGTTTTTGCCTTTTTTTTTTTTTTCTCCTTTTGTTTTTACCTTTTAGTGTGAAATCAGGTTGTGTTAAAAACTCTCCATTGAAAGGGGCTACATTTCAAAATGGCACATTCAGCTTTACGAAACAAAATAATAAAAGATAATATGAAAAGAAGCATAATCACAGATCAAGTTAATGTTTTTTTTTTTCCTTTTGAGAGAATAATAACAATAATAATCGTAATGCTGTGTCGTTACAGAGGAACATCACAGAACCCTTTTAGACGACTGCAAAAGCAACATCTAGTGGACACGAGAAGCCTGCACTTTGGCAATAACACAGTCAAAAGATATCAGAAGCTTCATTACAACACTAATCCAAAAAAAAAAAAAAAAAAAGCCAAAGGCATCGATGTTTATCCCAATACAGATGACTTGAACTGACCCTAAGGTCTTGCTTTGCTACCTGTCTCTCTAAGCATTACAAGGACTGCTCGGCTGTGCACGGCCTTAACAGGAGATGAAAAACAGAACACATAGGCATTTGGTTACATGTTTGAAACGGCAATGATAACTGCACGGACTAAAAGGTTCCCAACAGCTGTAAGAGAAATACTTAAAGGGTTACTGATATAAGGAATGCTGGCCTTAATCATACAATCTAACATACGTCCACTTAAAAAAAAAAAAAAAAAAACATGCTACAAGGAAAAAAATTAGTATATAACTACACTGGTCTCTTAATCTTTAAACAATAAATAAATGAAGATTGCACTGTAATTGGCATGTAAAGTACTGTATGCAAATATATAGTATAAATAAAAACCTAGAAAAGAACTCTATCTTAACTTCCCCATCGACTTTGGCAAAGGTTTGTTGAGCTAGTAAACCACTTTGCTTACTGACACGTACAGGAGCAAGGCACAGCATTGACAGAGGACTAGATACAGCATCAACGAAATGAAAGAACGGATAGAGGGGAGGGAGGAAGACAGGGAGAGACGAGGGGGGAGGGGAGGGGACCCCACCGGGACGCCCGCAACGCGAATGCCGGGGTGGGTTCGCCCTCTTGTAGGGCCTTTTCCCTGGGGTACATTACAGGCTGCCAATCAGAGCGGGCGGGCGGGGTTAACTTAGGGGGGCGCCCTTCCCCCCCAATCCCCCCCCCCCCCCCCCCCTCCCGCACCCACTTGACAATTAAAGACATGCCACGCATTAATCAAGCGGGTCAGGGTGACTTCTTTGGATCATCAGTGTATGTACTGGGCTGTACCTTGGCTTGGTATTTTGGGGCTGGGGTGAAAGGGGGTGGGGGGGTAGAATGCCCGGTTCTGCTAAGTTGTGTTCTGTCAAATGCTTGTTTGGTTAGTGAACATTAGTTCAAGTCTCCAGGGAACATGTCCGTCGGAGGAGTGACCACAGACTCGCTACTGCTCTGATTACATGTCAATAAAGCACCTTTAAACAGAGAGAGAGAGAGAGACAAAGAGACAGAGCAGGAGAGAGAGAGAGAGAGAGAGAGAGCGAGCATGGCAGAAAGATGGGGTGGATGGAAGCAGGAGAAGAGCAGGCAGAGCTAAAGGTAATTACAGGTCATTATGGGCAGTGGAGGACAACAGAGGGGAACAGTCTCCCGATGCATCGATTCACAGACTAGCTGGAAGGAGAAAGTAAGCTTCAGCACTACTCTGGCTGGGGAGGAGGTGAGGGGGGGTGGGGGGCTTCTGGGGTGCAGCTCAAGCTAACTCCTAATGGCTTTTAACACAAAGAGCTGTGAGAAGCGCGGCTAGCTGGCAGGCTTTTAGCACCTCTGGGTCTTAGCGGGCTTAATGCTAGTAAAGCTACAGATAAGCAGGCTGGAGTAATGGTGGCTGAGGTGGTCGGACGCGGCAGCGCCAATCAAACGCTCAGCCAGGCCTTTTCCTGTTTAAGTCGCAGCAAATTACAATCCCAGCACGGCTTCCTAATCGCGGGAGCCAGTTCATGCCAAACATTCGGATACCTACGAAGATTCCTATTCTGATCCGAGACCAGTGTTGAAGGTCTTCTTCGAGTTGCTTAACTGACCTCAGAGCTGCTGTTTGTGAGCCCCTAGATGCCCTTTTTCGCACTGTTCTGCAGACCTCACATCGCCATCACTTATATTACATCACTTTTATAGCATCATAGATTTGATATAACATATATAATATTGTGTGTATATATATTAGATTACTGGTTTTCCATTCTTTCTTAGATATAATAAAATCACAGGATAGCAGCATCTTACACCACACACGGATTGCATCACTTTGGTAGCTGAATGAGTGAGTGATTGAATGTTAAAAGCTGAGCAGGTGTGAACTGCATGAATTTACTGACAGTCTGTAGAGTCGTAGCAAACTGAATAATACGGTATGAACGGCTAAAGCTGTATAGGCCTACGTTGGAATATGGCTGAAATGAATAAAGACTACAGCAAAAAAAAAATTAAACATAAAAAAAAAATAAAAAAGTAAGGCAAAGACCGTCAAGAAATATACACGTTCTCTAGTCAAATATGTTTTAAAAAGATACAAGATAAAAACATGCAAGTCAGTCTGAGGAGCAACTGCTTTGCTCAAAGCTATTTTAAGGCTTTATTATGAGTTCTTTCCCAACCGTGGTACAGCTAAGACCTCAACAGAAATCCTTAGCAGATGAGATAATGACAATATTCCAACGACAACAGAGACGTAAAGGGAAACGGGACCAAACTGAGTGAAGGCAGGAGACGACAGGAACAAGGCGAGGAAAGCCAGAATCGATATTTTGACTTATAAAAAAGAAGATCGATTTAGAAGTACGTCAAGTGTTTCTTTTTGATTTTGTTCGGTTCTTTCATAGACGTATGTTTAAAAGTTTCTCTGTGATTTTGTTTTCTCTTTCTATCCTATAGCTAAAATTCCCTCACTTCATAAAGAAGTACTGTAGCAAGCAGGCGATGAGGATGGAGAAGCCCGCGAATACGCACACGATGAGCGCGGCGAAGCGCTCGTCGCTCGAGATCAGGCCCGCGCCTTTGCCCGTCTCCACGGCGCACGGCTCCCCCGACGATGCCGTCTCCTGGCGACGCAGCGTGAACAAGGAGGAGGGGCTCAGTGGCCCGCAGAGCTCCTGGCACGTATCCTGGCAACGGCGGCAGGCTCCCACGCGGAAACGATAGTCTGTGTTGCCCTGGAGACCAGAAATTTGGAACGTGCCCTCCTCTCCCTTAAAAACCTGCGAGGGGGGGAGAAAGATGGAGAGTTTAATGGACCTGGTTGTAAAATCATATACGGTTTCTTAGTTGACATCGATGTTCCGTCGGGTGATATTTTTAAAACATATTAACAGTTCATTTATTTTATAGTGCTCAGGAGTGAAATGAGTTAGTTGGGTATTTGGATGGAGACCTGCATGCTTTCTTCGGTCACTGTGACATACTTGCTTATTTTCATAGTGTGTGCAGGTTGCAGCTCTCAGCAGGTACCCATTCACAAAGGAAATATATGCATAAATGAATAGATTCCAGCTGTTCTCTATTGCTATGGAGACGCTATTAATCAAGCTATTCATCTTTGAAATAAAAATCTAAACTTCATCATTTCTCCATTCGTTTCTTTATTGAACATGTCTGATTTGCCACATCTGGCTGATCCAATCACATTTTAGGAGTTACTGTCACCACTCATTATGAGAAGTAATAAAGCCCGTTCTGATGACTTCTTGATTGTCTACATATTTTAACTTAACCTAATTGTTTTCTATCATCATTGACCAAAAGATGTTCAGGAAAATGGCTTGATGCTATACAAACAAACATACAACTTAAAAATCACATCACTATCAAAATACAACTGATGAAAAAAAGGTTGCAGAGTATTAGATGAATTAAACCTGCCAGTCGGTACTGTTGGTATGACCTTGGGTAAGATAATTAACCAGTCAGTTAATTATATTACCCAATTATTCTCTAGTAAGTCACTGGAATTGGCCTGTAGCTGCATGTGCTGTTAGAAGCGAATGACCAGTGGTTGTCGCATAATTTCTTATAAATTTAAATAAAAATGTATGCCGGCCATTAACATTGCTCTACACAGACATGAATTTGATTTCTTCAAAAAAGGGATTGCCTCTTACTGGGCTACATGAACAACATTGACAACATTCAACAATGAGAACATTGAATCGGGGAAAAACAAAGTATTTAGGCAGCAGAGGAGAATAGTTTCTGTTGTTTTCCACTCCTCCTGTAGTCATGTTCAGCTCGAGAAATCTAGGCAGAAATGAAAGTAACTATCCAATTTTGTAAGATTATGGGTAATGTGTCACCCCCTCTTAACTCAACAATATAGTTCTGAGGCGTATGCTGGAATGGTTGCTGGTCCCCTCGTGAACAACACAGTGCTGGTGCTGTCTGGTTTTTCTTGTTAGAATGGTCAAGGAAAATCTATAATATAATCTAAATAAAAGAATTCCTTCAAATGTCCCTATTTGATTTATTCATGAAGGGAGTTTGCAAAAAAAAAAAAAAAAAAAAGAGTAGTGTGTGTGTTCACTCATTCATTGCGAGACTACACTAAAGGGAAAAACACACAAAGGGGGAAATATAGCAGACAATTGTGTTGGCGGCGGACAGACACACAGCTGCTGCTTTGTCCGCCGGTGAGTATCAGCGGTTCTTCCCTCCAACCATTCAGGAATTTAATAACAGAGAGGAAAACGTCCTCGACTAGTGTGTCATTTCTATAACTGCCGTCTCCTCAGCGTTATATTTTAGGAGAAGCCAGAAATTTTATTTTAATTATCTGTGTTATTATGAAAATCCTCCAAAAAACAGAGATACAGCTGGCTTTTCAATTATCCTCAATTTCAGAATTCTCCTTCTCTCAGGGAAGTCATAGTGTTTTATTTCTCAATTTGTTTTTATTTTCAATGCCCCCCCCATCCGTGCAAAGTGACTTTTACGGCTCCTTGGGGGGGGATTAGAAAATATCCTCGCGGTGGGAACCAATTTATCGAAGCATGTGCTCTGCACTGCAGCGACACAGGAGCTCGCAGCATTTCCCTCAGATGGCCCGATTTAGTGCGCGAGTGTGTCGACAGTGTGCTCGACAAACCTGTTTGTATTCCGACTCGCGTCCCACCAGCACCTGCAGCACGTAGCTCACAGGGTCTCCTCTCATTGGCGTGATGGTCTCCCATGTGATCTCACACACGTTGCCCTCCAGCTGCTGGACTTTGGGAGCTGTTTGGAATAAATGCCACCGGAACATGATTATAAACCTAACATAAACCAATTCGATGGACTCCCTGCAGTAATACTTGAATCAATGTACCTTTGTATTTAAGCTAACCTAAGCCTTTAGGAGCAGTGTGTTAATGCAAAGCATACAGGAGGGGCGGGATTGAACCAACGCAGCAGGCACCCAAATTATTTAATAATGTACAGAGCGGCCATGTTAACAGCTTTTTAGACTAAACTGATCCTCCTGGATCACAACAGAAAATAGATCATTCATGTGATTATTTTTGTCATTTTAGTAAAAAAGGCGAAAAATTTATGTGTGATGATTTTTCCGGTGGATTTATAACTCGTGGATTTTATTGCTATTTTTCTATTATAATTAAATTCTGACTGCATCAGCTGCTTTGATGAAAAACAGCATGTGTTGGAGTAAACCCTAATCGTGGGACCTATTCATGGGGTTGTCTCAACTGACCCTCCATTTGTTCTGAGTACAGGGGGATTTGCAGCGGACCGTGCAGCGCACAGGCCCCGTGCTAACAGTGTGAGGAGCGGCTCGGACCCATGAGGCTGTTATTTGCTTCTTAATGGATATGTCAATGCTGTGCTGCACATTCGCAGCATCACAGTCAACCCCATAATACTTTCCGTGTATGGCCCCTGTGAGGATATTCCTCACTGTGACTATTGTCGGTATAATCAGCTGCAGCCTCTCAGTTTACAGGATTCGGGTGGCGCGAGAGAGGTTTTTTGGCAATCAATTAAATTAAATAGCTGCAAAAAAAAAGTGCTGCATCATCCATGGAGCAGCAAAACACACACACACACACACACACACACACACACACACACACACACACACACACACACACACACACACACACACACACACACACACACTATGAGATCCATTTACCTTTGAGGGTAGGTGGCACAGACTTGGTGGTGCAGAAGGTGTGCGTGTCAGAGAAGGGGCCCTCCCCTGCATCCCCGATGGCCTGTATTCTGAAGATGTAGCTGCTCGACTCAGCCAATCGCTGGACCTTGTAGGTGTGGCTGGGGCCGCGGTAGATCGTCACAAACCTGTACAATAGAGAGCAAGAAAAATATATAAATCAATCACAAATCCAGAAGGGGAAGTCAAAGATAAGGGGGAAGGTGAGGACCAATGTGGAGGTGAGAGGAAGGAGAAATGGTGTTATGAAAAGATTGGAGGGATGTGATGATAGATAAAGTCAGTAAAAAAAACTTGGATAACAAGAGCGGTGAGGGACGAGGCATCGATAATTGGGTTGCACTTATCAACAACTTATCAACTATCGGGATCACATTTTCTGACATTTCAGTGAGTGCACACAGAAGGCGTTACCAGTTAACTCTGCTCTGCAGTTCCTGGTGCACTACGTTACTCGCCGAACCAGTATACCGTTTACACGCTTTTATGTATCACAGTTCTTTTGCTACTTTTGTTGTTGCTTAGTTGAGACCTTGAAAAGAATCGAGGATGCCGGTGTGGAAGAGAGGAGAATGCGTCTCCACAAAGATAGGGGTGATTTATAAAACACAGGAGGAATACTGACAGGCCAAAGTCACACATCTAATGAAGCCTTCCGGCTGGCTAGATGGATGGATTGATGGACAGGAATGGAGATGATAAGTGACTGAATGAGGGAGTCGGAGAGAAATGGGGATTTGAGCTGAAAAGGTGGTTATTTATCTCCGCCCTCAGCCTTTCAGCGCAGGGAGGCTAACGTCTGTGCAACGTCAGGATTACGACAGCGAGAGAGACAAAAGTAATGGAGGCCAGGAAAAGGGGAGGCAGAGATGGAAGGAGGAAGACCGAAGCGCGTATGAAGAAGAGGAGAAATAAAGGGGAATAAAAAGCGAGGTGACTGGTAATCGTAGTGAGGAGATGATGATGCAGGACCTGCTGTAAGAGGAAAGAATTAAGAGAGGTCACTGTTCTGTAGTGGGCTATAACTCCAGGTGAGCTCTTTATGCAGCTGCCCTTGCAAGACGTGAAGCGTCCCTCTCGCTGATATATGATGCGGTTGTTAATCCTTTGCCATGCTGTCTTAACACCCCGCGGCCCCCCGGCGCCGACAGAATTAATACTACATCATGTGCGCCCTTGTCCCCTCTCTCTGTAGAAAAAACCACCATACGTAAATATGTCAATTTTTCCATCATCGTAATTTTCCATCAGCAAAACAATTAGCCATCAGCAGAGCAAAGACAACACACACACACACACACACACATCACCAGGGCCAGAGTTAATGAGGTGAACGGCGTCCTCCGTCCTGAGCTAAATCAACCACAACCGGGAGCACAGCAGGGCGGCCAGAAGCAGACAAAGATCATCGGTTTTTCCTCATCTTGTAATTCACAGGAATGTCAATATTGTACTGACATCATAAAATACAATTCTATCTTTTATTTCCTTTAATTATAGTGGTGGAACTATAATGCTTGTTTCAATTTCAGATGCAAACGTCCTAAAACGCTACTTTGATTGTGCCAGTCCTTTATTTCCCAACACAACATTACACTAACAGCATCATGCAACTTTGTTTTGTAGACACAGAAGAAACGCAAACAAAAAAAGAAGAGAGAGATAAAGCTCGGCTTTCAAAAAGGCCAAACTGCTTGCTTGCTGAGAGGAAAAACATACGGGTGTGTGTAAATAAAGAAAGGACACAAGAAGAACGGGTGAGACGTTGCAATAGATTCTCTACCCCACTGCTTCCGCTTGCATCTAAATATGACAGCAGGCGGGTTAAGCCACTGCACTGCGTTGGTTGCCATGGCGTCCTTACACTCCCGTATCCTCGGACAGAAGGTGTTTTAAAATTGAAGAAACTTGAAAGTTCAGAGCTTATGAAAAGGGTAACACAAGTGTTGGAATAATGAGAAAAAGATGAAGCCGCGAGCGGGGAGGGAGGACAGAACACAAGCAACAAGTCTGCAGACGGCGAGATAAGAGTGGACGGAGAGGAGGAAAGGGATTTATTATAGAGGACCTGAGAAAACCGCTTTGAATATCATCTTATAACCCCCACAAAAGACAGCAGGGCGGAAGCGAGAAAAACAACAAGGTTGAAAGAGGACGTGGGAGGGAGGCAATGCAGCAAAGAAACAATGAATTGGGATGAATAAAAATGAATGAGATCGTCCAGAGATAACGAGATGCGGCGAGAGAGACAGAGTCGGGGACAACCAATGTCAAAAACATAAATAAACAGCAATGCTATTTGGTTAAATGACACTGATGGAATTTATTGGCCAAATGTGAAATTGTATTAGACAAAATTGCAGCTGGCTATTCAATATGTTTGCTTACAGAGCAATTTATGGATTTGATCCTTTCCGTTTTTTCCAAAATGCCCTTGCAATCTCCCTTGATACATTACGATCAGCAATGCCAATAAAGATAACAAACTGAAAATGAATATCAATAACTACATTTCAAAAATGTAATATTCTCTCAATGTAATTTCCAACCTCTTGACAAATCAAAATGTATGAACTGGAATGGCAAAGTGTAAACTTTTTAATAAACTCCCTTTATTTCATATAACCTCTACTGGTTTAAATAATTTGCTATATATACACACAGACAAAACAAAAAGCTCACGTGGAACACAAACGGACCTTCTTGATCCAAATTGGGTGAATGCAGGCAAATGCAAATCCCCGAGCGTGCCAGCAGCGTCACCGAAAGCACAACATACGCCGACTAGCAGATTTCCATTCCAATCACTGTGGCAATTAGAAAAGGGTAAACAGAAGCCTCTAAACTGTCAAATATGTTTTCCTCTGGCTGGCAGAGTGTGTGTTTGTGCCAACGTACATGGCGTGCCTCTGAGTGGCCGCGTGCGTCGGAAAGGTTGCCATCGTGTACCGTGCCGAGGTACCTGGGGGCCAACGTGATGGCAATTGAACACCGATAGAGGGCCAATCAGAATGGCAGCGGGCTCGATAAGAGGCGGGGAGGGAGATCATCTGACAGGTTGGTGCGAGGGGCTTTTTTAGGTTGGTCAGTTACCTTCTTCATTGTCCCTGCCTTTCTCATTCCACCCAAATCCTCTTTGTTCTTTCTGCATGAATGAAGCAAAGGTTCTGCCCATCCTCCCATATGCGTCTCCCTCTCTGGTCCGAGATGTGTCCTTCTCCCCACTCTGCCTGTCTCTTTGCCGCACCTGTCTGATGAGTCAGTTAAATAAAGGGCTGATTGTTGGAGGCTGCTCCCCAGCTGGCTCCAGATGCCCTCGACGTGACCATTCGTTGGTACATCTGGTTACTGCACATGCAGGACCGACACACGTAGCTCTAGCTAGGCATTCACACACACATGCTCCCTAACTCCTCTCAGGCTGCTGATGTGCAGTCCCACCAAGTGTTTGTGTGTGTGTGTGTGTGTGTGTGTGTGTGTGGTATTGACCCTTCCGGGTCCTTGTTTGCCATATTGACTGTTAGCTGTTAGTTGGGCAGTTTTGAGTAAAGTGTTTGGAGAGCACTTCCACACAATCACAGCTCCAATCTCCGCTTGTGGCTGAGACTGGATAAAATAGATCCTTATCTTGAATGTCAGAGTTATAAATGTAAACATTCCAGTTGCGTCACTGTTTTTTCTCCAGTCGCGGTGTGTGTGTGTGTGAGGATGGCATAATGGCTGGTTCACACAATGGGGCTTTGGAACTGGCTTTCCACTTGCCATTAGAGATCCAGATCAGAGGCGAATGGCCGCTGGCTTTGCACTCTGTGTCGACGCACTCGTTTTAATTGCTGCTTTTCATCGCCTTTTTTTCACGGACACATTTTGTCCCATATTTTCATTCACAAGTTGGTGCACGTCTCGACCGGCAAACGGGCGTTTGCGGAGATCTCCCTCCATGAATCGGAGGCCATCCGCGCGTCCTTGTAGTCCCCCAATGACGGCTTGTATAAGTGGTCATATTTACGCATTTCTTACTACAAAAGCTCTTCAATCTGATCCGTTCTCTCGTAAAAAATATTTGTTTTAATAATGGCGGTATTATGCTAGGAAAACGGAAATGTGAGACCCCGTGAAGAATGTAGTTAGCAGACCAATCGCAGCCTTGCGGGCTGCAGGAGGCTTGTGTAGCGTTTGATGCTAGTCTAGAAAAATTGGTCGGCGCACATAAGAAGGAGTGAAAAGGCACACGCAAAGGGGCTCTTGCGTATTTTTTTTTTTAAGATATTAGAAGTTTAATCTAATGTTATAAATGTCCTGGGAGACGATGATGTACGCGTACAGTGAACAGAACGTAAACAGCCTCAACTGTTTATCATGACGTGTACGTGTAAATCCATGTGGATTTTTGATCTCGATTGTCTGTATGAGGCCGAGCATAATGCGGAGAGATGGATCCCTTCTCCATCAGCACCACGGGCCGAGCCACGCCAGGAGAGCAGTACAGACGTGTGTGTTGGCACTCCACCTGTGGTTCTTGTCCTCCATCTGTAGTGTGTAGACCAGGTCATCGGCGAGCAGGGCGCGGGTGTGCGTGTTGCCGTTTTCCCCCCACTTCAGCTTCAGGCTCTGAGGGCCGGCCGCTGAGCATTCGAGAGGAGGCGGGGCTGGAGGCAGGGGGCGTGTCCTTGCCAGCAGAGGTTGACTCAGGGGACCGGAGCCGAAGGCATTCACGGCCTGGACGTGCACGCTGCAAGACAGATTGTTACACAACGTTACTCTGAAATGTCTATTTATTTATTTTTTTTACTTTAGAAATGGCATTACTGCATCACATACACACCAAAAGAACATGCGCATAAGTACATAGTCTATTATGTATCCGTGTGAGTGTTCTCACCAGTGAACTTGACCTCACATATGTGTGTACTTTCTTCTCTTACTACCACGCCACAATTCAAAATACTCTGCAGGATGACACTAAAATATGTCTGACGTTGTAGACGTGTTCATGGAAAGAGCAAATGCTGCTGCAAATGATTTTACAAGGTTTACTGCTTGAAAATAGTAAGTGAGAGAACATTCTTTATTTCTTCTCCGGCTTGGTGAATGTTTCTCAAATAACAATTGAGAGATAAACGCTTTAGAGAAAATTCTTGTGCACGTCCTTTGTACCGAATACCCATATCATGAGAGACACTAGCAGGCACGTACACACACACACACACACACACGAGGACACACAGATGTACTAGTGATTAAAATGCACCAAGAGAAATTGATCTTTGTTTTTCTAATTCCCCCGCTGCCTTTCTTCTCGGAATCCCCCTTCCTTTCACACCCCTTTTGGGCCAATGTCTGACGAGCTGATTAGCATCCATATCAGAGGCCCTCAGGTGGTCAGTGAGCTTTTACCGTCTGGCATTTAATTGCCGATTCTCTGTAACTATAACCTTTCATTGTAATCAATGCAGCTGGGCGGGGGACGGGGAGAAAGGGCAGCTTAAACCTCCTTCCGCGGCCCGAATGAAGTGTCAAGTTAAAAGACAGTGAGGGATAGAAAAGGAAGAGAATGAAATGAAGGATTTTAGCTTTTGATGATGAGGGTTTACACCTACTCAGCGTTTTACATTTCAAACTTCAGAACGGATGCGTTTTGTTTTTTTCAATGTGGAATGGAGGAAAAGATAAACAAAAGATGATACATGAGCACAATTAGGTTTAAGGAAGAAAATATCTCACGCTGAGCAAAACACTACAATCCATAACTAGTCACTTCTTGTACGCTCCAGGTAATGACAGCTAGTCGAATGAAAATAGTCCATGTGAATACATTTACTTTAGTGATGAGCGAGCAATGCACTGTGTCCTTTATATATTTTATTAGACATTTTGTGTTAAAAGAGTACTTTCTTTAGTGAATCTGTAATCTGTGTGTGACTTTTTCTACCTAGTGTTAAACATTAGTAATGGACTGGTGCAATAATGAGTAATCACAATCATGAGTAATGCTGGCAGTTATTTGTTTTAAAATTATAAATTAAACTAAACTAAATTGTTATCAAAGAGAACGGGAAATGTAAAACTAAATATTTTTTAGGTTGTTCGGGTGTACTACTATTACTTTTTATAGCATAGAAAACCAGATAAAAATGGTAAATGTTCTGTTAAAAGGAGATTGTTGTACGCCAGTAAAGACAGAGGAAAGGAAAAACAGAAGAGCAACAATGAGACATTTAAAACCTGCACTGAAGCACACGCTCGCCAACAGAGTAAAATGAAATGGACGGCAGTCCTTCCCAGAGCTACACACGCAAAATGAAAAACAAATAATATTATTTGAGTACGCCGCACTGCTGTAAACAACAGCCACAATTACCGTCACTGCCACACACACAGTCCTAACGGCAGACTCTGGTGCGCACACACACAAACACAAACACACACACACACACACACACACACACACACACACACACACACACACACACACAGGTGTATATGAATAGCGCTCTGCCTCTGTGGCAGCTGTTATGCAACAGTGCAGAGTGACATCGGCACAAAAACAATCCTAGAATAAAAACAATGGTGTGTCATTGCCGCGCCTCTTCACGCGCCGCTCTACCTTCAACCGCCCCCCCCTCCCCGCACACACACACACACACACGCACACACACGCTTCCCCCTCAATTAAAGAACCCACTGCATAATCACACACACAAGCAAAACAGTATTGTTATTTTTCAAGAGTAAAAGTAATATTTATTTTTGCTTGAGTGAAACAGGGTCTGACCTCGCTGCTCACACACACGATGTGAGCTCGAGCACAACACAACCACTGCATCCTACAACCTGTTGCTTAACGCTCATGTAACACACTGCGGGGAACCGGAGAGAACGTAAACAACCCGGCTATTTACCCCCTAAAGTACAGGACCATAGCATCTCACGGACAGACGGCGAGTAGTTTATGCCAGTGAGTTTCAAATGTTCCAGCATCTAACCCCCGATCAAAGGGACGCTTGTTTGTTTAGTCACTCGTTACGCATCGCGCCGCACACGGTACCTGTACTCGCTGTCCGGCTGCAGGCCTGCGACCAGCTGACTCGTCCCTGATTCCACGCTGATGGTTTGGTCTTCCAGGGTGATGACGTAGGAGGTGATTTCCGCCCCGTTGCTGTTTGGCTCGTCCCACTTGAGGAGGAGGCAGGTGGACGGGGAGTGACCCGACTCCGGGGGGGTCGGCAGCTCCAGGAGGGTGAGGGAGGTGATCGGGTCGGGGTTTGTCGCGGGGGTCCGGAAACTCACCTGGTCGCTGTAAGGCCCAGCGCCTGCCTGATTCACCGCCTGAGGTGAAAAAAAAACAAAAAAAAAACAGAAAAGAGTCAAGTGAGGGGGGTGAAAGAGATCGGGCAAGCAGTGCAGGAAGCCGAGGACAGAAAAGACGTGGAGGGAGGTGAAAACACAGATAATTAGATTAAAACAGAAAATAATTGACAAAGAGTTGAAGAAAAGGAAACCAGTGAAGGGAGAAAAATTCAAATTAGTATTGAAAGCACATAAGAATATTCGTTGTGTTGTTACACATGTATATTCTCCTCAAGTAGACTATTAAATTCCCTTCAATTGCTTCCGGGATGTAATATGTTGTAATGCCTCAACGTCAGCAACATCGGAAGGATATTCAAAGCTAAAATACAAAAAATGGACACTGTGGCTGATAATTGTCAGGCAGACAACAGCGGAATAAATGAAAGGGTCGAGAAAGAACATCAAGACCACTTATTTTTCAGCATTATTATTATGTCTTCATGAGTAAGTATTTTTTCAATGTCAGGAATGTTTTATTTATCAATGCGGATTTCAAACCACGTTTCAGCAGACCAACATCCAGGTCCAGGACATGAGGAGTCTCACAGAGTTCAACCAAGTAAATTATTTTTCTGTGGTTTGTCCTCCACGTACATATTTTTTGTTTTACAGATGAACACAAATCACATGCACACACCTTGTGCTCTCCTCTGAACTATAATGAGCACATAAAGAAAAGTCATTAAACCATGCTGTCAGTGGATTTATAGCTTCAGAGGGTTCATTGGTCAGGGAGCCAGCGTGTGTGTGTGTGTGTGTGTGTGTGTGTGTGTGTGTGTGTGTGTAAGGACACTTATTTATTCAGCAGAAACATGAGGTAAGAACATGTGAAAACAGGAAAGAACATAAATAAGTCACAGAACACAGAACATCCAACCACGTACCCACACATCCAACCTTTTATCATCCAACCACGCACCCACGGGGGTGCCAACCACACATCCAACCACGCACCCACACATCCAACCACGTACCCACACATCCAACCACGCACCCACACATCCAACCACACATCCGACCACACATCCAACCACGCACCCACACATCCAACCACGTACCCACACATCCAACCACACATCCAACCACGCACCCACACATCCAACCACACATCCAACCACGCACCCACACATCCAACCAGACGTCCCACACATCCACCACACATCCAATCCAACCACGCACCCACACATCCAACCACGTACCCACACATCCAACCACACATCCAACCACGCACCCACACATCCAACCACGCACCCACACATCCAACCACACATCCAACCACGCACCCACACATCCAACCACGTACCCACACATCCAACCACACATCCAACCACGCACCCACACATCCAACCACACATCCAACCACACATCCAACCACGCACCCACGCATCCAACCACACATCCAACCACGCACCCACGCATCCAACCAGAGGCTCGTCAACGGGACTTCGGCTTACTCGTAATTATTACCCATAAGTAGGGTTTTTTTGCGTGTTACCTGTAGCCTGCAGCAGAAATCTGTGGCAGGTGTGAGGTCAGACAGTTCACACTGCGTGGCAGCTCCACAGTAGATGAGCTCCATGGGTTCCTCTTCTCTCGCGCACTCCAAGCGATACTCAGAGATGTCTGTGCCCGAGCCCTCGGGACTCTGAAACACACACACACACACACACACACACACATGCTTACCAGCCTGAACTTGGCAATAATAAATACTGACACAAATACAGTGCCGCATTAAACAGGGCCGAGGGCTAATAAGGAATACATCAGTAGAGACGGGCTTTATTCAATTAAACACCGGAGGCTTTCTTTTTAAAGTGGATGCATCAACTAGGACGAGTCGGATTGCTACAAACTAAACACTCCCCTGGGTCCACTTGTCCACAACAGCCGAGGCAGAAAAAAAGCCTTTTAGGTTAGTAGAAACAGAGAGAAGGAGGTTGTGCCTCTTCACACCGCTTTGGGGAAGGTGGCCTCTGTGTAACCTTCCGTTCGTCCCTCTTACGCTGCCTTTGCTCGTTAAAATTCATTGGATGAATACGGTGAGTGTGTTCGTCTCACCTCCCAGTTGAGCGTGACGCAGGTGTTACTGGTGAGAATGAAGAGCGGCGCCCCGCACTGGCCAGGAGGGCCCGCTGCAGTCGTCACCTCTGTCGGCTCAGAGTACTCTCCGAACTAAAAGAGAAAGAGAAGAGCCGCGGCGTTTAGCCTTGAGGCGCGTGTTTAGCCGGACGCAGGCGGGAAGGGCAGCACAGTTCACACAGGGTTTGCCTGCTTATCGCAGTGCTGTTTTTTTGTGCCCTCTGCATGATCCGCCGATTTCTTTAGTGTGTGTGTGTGTGTGTGTGTGCTGTCTGAATACTAAATTCACTCTGGAGTTTGGGGACAATCAATCCGAGGGGACGTGAGCTGTGGAACACGGCTGGCGTTCGTCCGCCTGGGACACTGTGACCTAAAAGAAGCTGCCCCGGTGTACGTGGAAGTGTAGACGTCTGGGAGGGTGGCTTTATAAAAACATTTCATATTGAATAATATATATTTTTATATATTTGGATCAAATTAAGAGGTTCCACAGTTCCTGCGCTCAACCTGCTGAGTGGATTGTGTAGCCGTGCAAAACAAAGTTTGCTTTCATACATTTTGAAAAGCTAAATCGATGCTGTGTGACAGCAGAACAAACAAATCTGATTTATCTCTTGATTTATTAAATTTTTTCACATGAATTAAAATATATTTCCTCCCTCTCTCTCTCTCTCTCACACACACACACACACACACACATATATATAAATGTAAAAGAGCTTTACAATGACATTTTTTTACAGTGTATTCCTGCTCCGTGTGTGCATTCTTCGTATTTCTTACCCCAGCCTCGTTGGCGGCCCGCAATTGGAAGCTGTATGTGGCACCAGGCAACAGACTACCAACAGTGCATTGCAGCTCTGACCCATGGTACACCTCCGCTGGCTCGCTGTCAACCTCACTCATCTCCAGACTGAACACACACTCCTCGCACACTCCTTCAGAGTAAAGCGGTTCTGCAGGGACAAAGAGAGAGAGAGAGAGGGGGGTGTGTTCACACATGAAATCACCAGGGGGTTCTTTCCTCCACCAGCTGTTCCAATTTGGTTGCCGTATGGTGAAAGTAAAAAAAAATAAAAATAATGGAGACTGAGGGGCAAACAGTTCCAATACATTATGTGTGACCTTCACCTGGAGGGAAGTAATTGCATCAGCGCTGCCTGAATTCGAGCTGATCAGTGCTGTGGCTGGCACTATTAAAACCGGTTAAAACAACAACACTTTTCCCCTGCCAACAGATAACTTTACTTATCTGCAATAATGGGTTGACATTGGAAGAGTTAAATCTGATACGAGGCTAGGTTAGGCATTTAATTGTCTGAATTAGGCCTCATTTAGGCAGAAAACGAGTTGGCCAGGGAGACATTTTAGGCTGCCAGAGGGCAATTTAGATGCCTGACAAAAAAATTTAAATATATTCTGGTAAAGGAAAATAATCACAGCGTATGCGTGCGTCTGCACTCACCCCATTCTAACTGCACTTCCTTGTGTTTGGGTTTACCCACAATCCTTGGCGGCTGGCAGGGACCCGGTGGGACGCTTAATGTACGGACCGGGACGCTAACAGTGCACTTCAGGAGCGGTGACAAAAACACAGGGAATCAAAGGAAAAGAGAAGGAAACACAGTCACAGATCAGTTTGAATAATGACTGGCAGAAATGTTTATTATGGTGCAGGATGGTTTACTACGTGAAGCCGTTTTTTCCTCTGTGCGCGTTTGGTCCTTACCGGGCTGTGTCCTCCGGTGGTGATGCTACACACGCGTAGGCTGTAGACGGTCCCGGGTGCGAGACGCTCACACACACATTCTGTTGCTGGACCACTGTACGCTACGTCCCATTGGCTAGCTGCACAGACCAAAAAACGCTGAGTTACACAAACTGCATGCAAACTTTACGCAAAGAATTGCAGCGAGAGTGGAACACGTTCTGATTATGCTGCTTCAGTTATTTACGTAACTGTGCAAAACTCACAGCACATGAAAAGGACAATGCTCAGTGAGAGTTTAACCAAAAGACACAAAACACACTAAATCACACAAAGAGTTCACTGTGAGGAGGGGAAAAGGAGGATATGGACACAAAGAACAGTTTAGTAACAGGCGTATATGTTTCCCTGTCTAGTGTGTGTCTGATGTTCAATAATTGAATATATAGTACGTGAAAGCACAATATATTTTAATGTGTTTATATAACCTTGGAGGTTTGTCTGCCCTTTTTGAAGCTACTCAGACATGAGCTTAAAATGTTCTCCTCTACTCTTTATTACCCAACGGTGCTCTTCAATAAACAACTAAATGTATTTGATGTGATTGCTTGGGTACAGATTCAGGAAAATATCCCTCTAGAAAGAAACAGGGGAACATTTGGTTTAAGTGCCCATCCGGGTAAATGCTGAAAACCTGTGTGCTGAATTGAAGCTAACAAAGAGTGAATTATGGACGCTATACTTCTCAGGAGATTAAGTGAGAGAAATGGATGAAGAGAGCGAGCGAGGACGGGCCAGAGAGGACGGTACATTCTGAGCTGTGCTTCACAAAGTGATTATCTGAGTGCGGATGGACACAGAGAAGCACACACAGAGGGATGTAAATTGTACCTTCAGAGCCTCCCTCCGAGGTCTCCAGCAGGTAGGTGAGAGCCTCCGAGCCCCCGTTGTCCTGGGGAGGATCTGTCGATGGAAACATTGTTTTTGTTTGGGGTTAACTTTATGCATAGAACACCAATTATACTTTATGGATTCAATAGAAAAGGTTTAAAATAACTCTAACTATTCCATTAACATATTAAGTTGTGGTTTGAGATTTTAATGACATTTAGCATCAATACAACTTAATAACTCTTAATTAATGAATTGTCTTTAAGCCAAACCAAAGCCTTCATAACTATCTGAGCACACTGATCAAACTTCAGTAGGAAGAGAAAAAGTGTAGTATTTTCTATTATTTTGACCATTTAAAGACACATTACAGACATTGTAATGGATCGGCTTTAGTGTTTTTAATAAATATGCAAAAGGGATAACACGGCACACAATGGAGGGATGCACCTGGCGGAGAAATCCCAATACATTTGACGAGATAAAGACGGCGGTTTAGCACGGAGATGTGATGTGCTTATAGCTTTTAGAGTGAAATCAATAATGTGGTGAGGGTGATCGAGAGACATCCAGCACGATCCGTGCCATGTTTACAAGGCGGGAGGAAGGGCAGCGTGCCCTGACCGCCGCACTAAAGCGGGACAGGTGGATGGAAGCAGACTTAACACATGAACACCCCAGAGGCAGCAGGTTATTGATCCCACCTCAATGAATGATTTTATTCTGCGATATACTGCTAGTTTGTATTTAAAGTTGAGTATTTTATTTTGAGTATATCAAACAATACCATTTTGAAACCTTCCATCATTTTATCTTCACTGAAGGGCAAATGACAAAGAATGGATTTCAACCGGGATTTGCTCCAACGATCTGATTACCTTGCAACTGTTATTTGTCCCGTCTCAGTGTCCTTTTCCTGCTGGTATAAACGGCTCAAACACAGCGTTTATGTTTTGAAGTACGGTGCAATTTTCCTTTCTTTTCGTGACTCATCTAATTTCGCAATTATCCACGTATGAATGCAATCTCCGCACCAAGGACATCCTAGGCAGAACAACGGAAGAGACGGAAAACTACAGCTCCAGACTAACGAGGCGCAGAACTTTCTTCAAAACTTCAAGCAAACAATTTTGACCTGACAAGAGAGAGACCGCATCTGTGTTTCAACATCGCAGTCGGTGCTGTTGCACACAATGCCAATAATTCAACTCCGCCTGTGACTATTGGCGCTGATCTTTGTGAACTGGACTTGTTGATGCATGTTAATGTCCCTTTGCAGTTTGCAATTTCACCGTTTTGTTTGACTAATGTGTTAAAATTATCCTTAGACAATCGTAAACCATTGCAATTTCTGTTTTTGTTCTTTATTATTTGTAAGGACTAAACATATGAAACAATGTTTAGTATCTCAGCAATCTACAAAGAAACTACACATTATTGGGAATGCTGGTAAAAAGAAGAATTGAGAATTCCATGTTTGCCTGTGACTTGTTGCGCGTTTCTGCACACACACCTGCATGTGTGTGTGTGTTAGCAAATGTGCAATGTATAGCACACGCGTCTGCGTGTGGATATTTACCCCATGTGACGGTAAATCCGTAGGGTGTTGCCGCGGTAACAAAGGGTGTGGATGGAGGGCCCGGTTTGTCTGGGTTGGTGGTGCAGACCAACACCTCACTGGGGCTGCTCCTTCCCTCCATGTTTGATGCTATGAGCTGCGGGAGAGGAGAGGGGGGGCAGGGGAGGGGGACAACATCCAGGGGAAGGATTGTTTTGTGAGGGGGAGAAATGGAGGACAGATGGAGTGTGATTAATAGGAGCCATAACTCTCTTTGCTACTTCCCCCCCGTGCATCACCTGGCTCCTCCGCCATCCTTTTTCTTCAGATTTCTCCGTTCATTATCCCATTCTATGGAAAATCTATTGTTTTTTTCCTCCTGATGTTCACTCAGGTTGAACATCACAAACAACACAGGGCTGTCTCTTTGTGTGTATGCGGCCTCATCTGACAGTGATGACAGGCACATGAGAGTGTGTGTCTGTGTGTGAAGGGCTGTTTGAGACGATTGCACAACAATACACGGTTCATAACAAGACACACACACAGAAGCATTGACGCAAAAGCTGCTATCGTCGGTACATTCAGTTCCACAATGTCCTGGCGTTACGAACGGCTGTCGCAGCTTTTAGCCGAGCCGAGTTCTTCTTGTTAAATGGCTGGTAAATTGCCTTCTCTCATTATTGGTTATATTGTTGTCGAATCCAAATGCCGTATTCCTTCTTAGATGTGATGGATGTTGTCTTAACATGGAATGTAATGGAAAGAAAACCTCACTGAGTGCAGATCTTCCGACGTCCACATGCACAGAATGAGGTAACGGGAGTCTGATGGGACACCATCTGTGCACATCATACCCCTCTCCCCTGTCTCCACTCTGCCTCTATAAGTCGTCTTTCTGATTTAAAAAAAAGCCCAAATAACAATAATAGAAAACACATAAACACGTTGTGACGCCACTTACCCGGAATTTATACTGTGTACTCCTCTTCAGTCCTTGTACAGTACAGGTCAAGTTTTCTCCAGTGTACTTTGGATGAAAGTCTATCCCCTGTGGGTAGAACGGACACAGATACACAGTCAGTAGTAGTAGTGTTTCTGCCAGCATGCGTTCATTTAAATGGAGATCTTTGAGCATATTGATGCAATAAATGCTGACTTTTGCATTACATATACATGCTGGTGACAAGGCAAAGGAGTGTATGGGAGTCCCTTCTTCTTTACACGTTCAATCATAAGCACACAGGGTGTTCTGTGTTTCTGCGTCTATGCTGGTACTTTATAGGAATTGCTGCTGTGTGCATCTGCTGTTCATTTCCCCAAACTCTGTTAAACAAGCAATTTTTCATATTTTCTCGTAATCTTTTTTTTTTTGTAATACAGCGCTTCTTGTTTGAAATTGTTGTTCGTCCCGTCTCTCTTCCTGCGAGCTTGACGTAACTGACGGCACCGAGCTCAATCAAATCCCTGTCATTTGGAAAACGCCCCGTGCCACCGACCTAAACCCAATGAACGTTTTCATTTAATCGCAGCGTTCACACGTGCGCGGCACTCACGCTGTTGTCCTCCTGGATCTCGAGTGTGTACTTGAGCTGCTCCTCGCTCGGACTGCCCTCGGGGCGCCCCCACTCCAAGGTCACCCAGGAAACCCCCGCCCTGACCAGCCGCGGCGCCAACGGCAGAGCGGGCAGGGTGCCCATGGTGTAAAACACCACCTCTGTGCTGAAGCCACTGCACAAAAACACATTGACGTTTGTTCAAAACGCTGACGCAAATTATTCAATCTGTGGATTATTTCTGCTGAGGGAAGGGAGGGGGAATGAGGAGAGAAAGGGGGAGAAAAGGACGCTGGCGTCAGTGTTTATTAGAAGGGGGATAGTGGAGCTGTTAAATAAAAGGATATATTCATGTTAGGAGCCAGATGAAAAAGAGAAAAAAGGAAGGGGAAGGTGCAGGACAGAAAGCATTTCAATGTATGACCAGCAGCTGGGTTTGGGGACGGGGGGGCGGAAGTTCTTTTGAAGGTTAGAAGAATAGCTGGTAATCAAACGCCAGCGTGTGCCCCGTTTACTGGTGGAAGGGTCCGTCCACGGCTTCAAAGGGAAATCAGGCTCAAGTCTACATTAAGGCTCCTTTGATTTCAGCAAGGGAACTGACATCTCCCTCCTTTGCTATCGCTCACCCCCGTTCACCTCCTATCCGTCACCCTAACAGCCACAAGCCCAGATGCTTGCCCGCAATGAGGGGCAGTAAGGGAGACGAGAGGTAAGAGAGGAAATGGGAGGGGAAAATGAGAAGAGGGAGAGGACACATGCGACATGCAGAATAAAGGCAATGAGTCGACGGGTGTCTCTCTCCTCGGTGTGTCATGCAAAGGTGCGTTTTGGGCGACAACGGTCGAATGTATTCCCGTACTGTTGGTATAGTTTGTTCACTAAAGCTGTGGCCAGGTTCTCATGTGAAAATTCAATCCATCCGATCGTATGAGAATAAGGAACAAGAAATAATGATCTGCCTCCTGGGCTATTTGTGGCGACATACGCACGACTGGACTTTTGTGTTTGTGTGTGTATAGCGCAAGTTTATTCAGTAACGGGCAACCGTACCTTGTCCCGATGTCGTTGTGCGCAGCCACTCTGAATGTGTAGCCGCAGGCGGGGAAGAGCCTCGTCAGCTTACAGTGCTTCTGGCTCCCGAAATAACATTCTCTGAAAACACTGTTCTTCTTTCCCTGCAGAGACGTCAAGAGAACGACGGGGGTAAGAGGGATTGCAAAGAGGGAGATAAGGAGACATTTTTTAAGTAGAGGGAGAAAATAAAAAAAATCCCGGGCAGTAAGAAAGAGATGTGGACACGGATCTCACAATTCATGCATTCATCGTATCTTCCCTGAGGAGGTGAACACCCATTTAGTAACGTCCGTGATACGTATGGGTGCTTTTCAAAGAAGGATAATGGCAGAGGATGGACGCGAGACAAGACAGCGAGAGGACTAACCTCATCCCATTCCAGCAGGTAGTTTGTGATTTTGGAACCGTTGTCGCCTGGCGGCTGTGGACGACAGACAGATGGACACAGACAAGAGAGACACAGATTAGCTGAGGATTAAAGAATCTGACACGGCGCAAAAACAAAATACCAATTACAACAATATTGATAAGGGGCTGCGGTGCTGATGAAATCCAGGTGACTTCTGTATTAAGAGTAGACATAGAAGACAAACATCAAGAACTCTTGATCCATGCCGTTGATTTATAATAACCTCCTTGTAAATACCATCCAAACCTATTGCCATCTCGCTGTAAAGGGGGAGGGTGTCTGTTTTAGCGGGCGTACCTTCCACTGTAGGGTGAGGGTGCTCTTGGTGCGGTGGGAGAGTTTCGGGGTTAGCGGGACGTCGGGGGCGCCGCAGTGCGTGGTGAACGAGCCGGCCTCTGAACACGAGCCCCGAGCCGAGTTGTACATCGCCGACACCCTGGAACGAGCGAGACGTCTCGATTTAGTGGAAACCCCACGAATCTAATAAGACGCCAACGCGGAAGTAGTACAAAACGACAGATCCCAATTTGCAATGTCCGTACCGTACGTGGTAGTCCGTCGCTGGCCTTAAGTCGCTCAGATGGAACTCCAATTCTTCGCCGCTGAAATACATACAAACAAAGCACAAAGGTCCCACCGCTGTACTCCGGATGTGTTCCTGGCTTTGTACTTTCCGCCTGGAGCGAGTTCCCTACCTGTATATGAGGCGATACTTTCCATCCCGTCCCTTATCCGAGAGAGAGAGCTCGTAGGAGCAGGACAGCGGCTTCCCGTTGCCGTGCCTGTTTACCAGCGCAGCAGGGGGGGCCCAGGACAGCCGTGCAGCCCGCGCCTGCACATTGGAGACCTGTAAGAAACACATAAAAGTACATATTCCATGTTACATAGACAATTCGACCAAGCGCAGTCGCCCGAGCACAAAATGGGATTTGGTCAGTAGATGTGCGCCGTACAATTCATGGGGAAGAAAAGTGTCCTTTTTGTTCTACTCCCTTAAATTGGAGGCAGCGGTGATTCCCTGATGTATATGTGGGTAAAATCATTCCATCAATCAATCATTTTGAACGTGCCTATGTCTGTACGTGCATTTGTAAAAAAGCAACGAGTCATTGAAAACATCACCCCGGATTCCTTCCTCCTTCCTTCCATCAATTGTGTTGGAAATTCACAAGAACATTAAAATGAAACCCCGCAAAAAGATCCAGCCGTGTTCCAGCCCGGCCCTACATGTGTATGGGCTTTTCGGATGCGGCGCACCGTGAGTGAGCCAATTCAGTGTGATAGTCGGCTGCTATTCCTACGACTACGCACCCACTAAATATGGAGATAAATGCGCCCCGAGGGTCTGCAAACCAAACACCCATTGCTAGACGGTCTGGGGAGACAGACTGGGGGAGCCGCAGACCTTTGATCATGATGATTAGGTATTTACGAGATCGCATCACGGTGTCCACATGCCAGAGAGCCCCGTCTGTCTCTGGGTGCAAGTCATTCACAAACATGCACACTCTCTGCTGACATGTGCAATGCGGATACATAAATAAGGGTTTCAGACACGATGATGATGAATGCAGTTTGATGTGCGTCGCTGCAGCAGCGGGAACAGCAGTGACACACCAGGACAAATGTAATAAAGGAAAAGACAAGAAATGAAACAAACAAACAAGAAATGGCAAAGAGATACAGATGAACAGAACAAAGGAGGCCATTAGAGGTTTGTGGAGCTCTTTTCTTTTCACCAGGAGAGACGGCTCATCTACAAATGACCGAACCACTAAAACTGAGGCTGTAAGAAAGTACTATATATCAACGACAGGGTTTCTTCTTCTAATGTTCCATCTCCCTCATACAATGGCTGTGTTTGTGTACATGGACGAGCAACATTAAATTGGCTTTATTGGCATAATAAATGGCATTTAAAGCGCATTTCTTGCATTTTAAGTCGTGCCCATGACAATCAATTTGCTTGACAACCGACAGAATAGATGTTTGGGTTGAAGAGACAAACGTATATTCAAAAAATCTTGTTGAAGGTACATATTTTGTTTACACACAGCTTTGTTTAGGTCACAGAGACATGGCCGTACATTTTGCCCATAAACCTCCAGTAAATGTTTCTAATAATACCTTTTTATCGTTAAAAACTTTACAATGTGACTTTTGAATGTATTATCTCCACCAGGACACAGTAAGTAAATGGAACTCAATGACAGGAGAAGATATCAGAATTGTCCTTACTTATCCTTCTTTTTATTTTTCTTCTTAGTATCAACTATAATAAAAGAAAAAAACTGACGGAGGTAATATGAGGTCATGCGAGCAAATGGATTGTTGCTGCACACTCATCTCATCTCCGGAAGAAAAAAGAAAAACCTCTCTCATAGTTCCATTCTTACTGCCAATTTTAAACCCCTCAAACTTATCAAATGTTCCAATTGCACAGCCTCCTACACTCCTTTGACCTGGAGAAAGCGGTTCCTGGGAGGGGGGGCTAGAGGACGGGTTATGAAGGGTTCTTCAGCAGGAAAAGACAGAGTGGGAAGAGAATGGCAAAGATGAACGGACGCTGCCCTCATGTGGCCAAACTGAGCACAGTTTAACGCCAGAGACAAACTTAAAATTGCTACCCTAATTCCAGTTATGACTGGAAAGAGGCGATGGAGGAAAGTGGTTATAAGTGTGTGTGCGTTCTGCATGCAGACGTTTGGGGGAGTGGCGAACACCAACCTGTGGTTTGTCGATTGTACAAAGCATGTCTTGAACACGCTTTCCCTCTGAATCATGATCTGAGGAGACAGAGACAAAAACAGATGTTATCAAAAAATAAAAGAATATATAAAAGAAATATTTTTAAACTGATCATTGGAAGATTGAGTCCACATATGGTTCATAATCAATGAATTGACTTTAAATAAAACCAAAAATGTCACAGTCCCAAAGTAGGATGTCAGTGATAACTTCAGACTATGGCAGATCATTGCCTGTCACATCGGGTTTGAATCTAAAGGGAAAAATTGGGACTTTCAAAAATCCGCCGGGACACCCAATCATCCCACATAATGCTGTTTAAATGAAATAAAACAAACAGACCTTGTTTCTAATTGAGTGGGAAGAAATCATTAAATGAATCATTATTATTCACCATTTTGCAATCAACTAAACCTGTGAATAATCAACCACGTACGTCAATCACTGACGTCAGCAGTGCCGACTTAGTGCCACGTGTATATGACTGTTTACTACACAACGCCGCTGCCTGTCTCATCACTAAACTCTAGAAAGAAGACTTAATATTTCTCTTAGAGCTTTGTATACATTTGTTTCTCCTTCTTGATACGCAGCGTCCGCACAAACAAACCCAGGTACAGGTCTGGTGCATTAATATGATGCGTGTAAAAGGTGATTTATTGGACCCTCTGGGTAGTTAGGAGAGCGAGTGAGTCTGTGTGTGTGTGCATGTGTGCGTCTGTGTATGTGTGCGTATAATGGAAGGCTGTCGCTGCCCCCCCCCACGTGATCCCCGCTGTTGATGTTTTTCCGACCAGAAGAGGCCCGCTTTCTCCATCGAGTCTGACCACTGTAAATCAACCAGGATGCGTGTGTGTGTGTGTGTGTGCATGCGTTTGAGGGTCAGCATTACGAGATCTGTATAGACCAAGTCAGTATGATGTTATTGGTACATGACTGCATCACATTAACACACCACCACACACACACACACACACACACGCACACACACACACACACACAGTATACTTGTGTATAAAACAGCTTGTACTAGAGATCACTGTACACTCGTAGCAAAATTGATGAATGAAAGATTGTGTGTGTGCAAATGGGTCTGTGTGTGTGTGTGTGTGTGTGATTGTGTGTGTGTGTGTGTGTGTGTGTGACAATGTCTAAGTGTCCCTCTGACAGGTTCTGTGGGTGAGAGGGCCTCACTGTGCCCGGGGGGTACACTTATGAGTCATGGCAACTGTGATGTCATGGAAGCCCAACCTTAACTTGACCCTCCTGGGTGTGTGTGTGTGTGTGTGTGTGTGTGTGTGTGTGTGTCTGTGTTTTAGAGAGAATTAAAAAGCAAACAAAAGACAGAGACACGGAGTGTGTGCGCGTGTGTGTCTCAGTATCCGGTTACAGGAGATGACTGATTGAGGGGGGGGGGTTAGCTACTGGTAGCGTACAGTGGAGTTAGCAGCGTGAATAGAGTTAAACAGGTGATACACACACACACACACACACACACACACACACACACACACACACACACATCACTGCTACACTCCTTGGCTCATTCACACGCTTTTAAAAAAATGTATTTATCCACACACTTGTCCCCTTTCATCTATTTGGACAATACCTAACCTTCCTCTTTTTATAGAATAATGACACAATCAGACACACAGCTCCAGGCACGAAGCCGGCTTATTCCAGCCATTCATCCCAGCTGGGAGAAAAGGGAGAACGCTGCCTGCTTAATGCCGCAGTCCTGTAGCTGCCTGTCTGGTGCCGACGTTCAGCAAACAAAGGATGTTAATGATCAAACAGCACGCATGGCTGAAGAGCAGATCCTCTGGGAGAAATAGGCTTCATCAGGCACCGGAGAAATTATTATTATTATTGTTTTTACATTTTCAGTAAAAACAAAAATGGTAGAAAAACCGGCTCTTTTTGTTTAGACAGAGGCTGTTCCTGTTGAGGATGTCGTCACCGAAAAACGATACATTTAATATCTTTTAAAGTAAATAATTATAATACAATCCAGGTACAACCAGTTAGAAATTTCAGACTTACACTTCAGTAGTTGGGGAGGGAAAAAAAGTCTGCAAACACACCAAGTTTGTGGCAGAAGTAAGAGATTTATGTAACATTTGAAGAGACCGGTAATAAAGTTTGAAAAACACTACTTCTTTACCTCACCGCCGACTGTTATGACTTGCTGTGGTTGCGGAGTCCAGCTGCTTAAGTGTTTAATATGGAGAACAACCACAGACCTGAATCTCTTTCCCACTGCGCCGACACACATACGCGCACACCAGTGGCAGGCCGTGCGCTTTCTACCTGAACTCTTACTAAATACACTTTAATGTGCAAAGCGACCTGGAGGAACTCGGGCCTCTGTTACATAGAGACACAGGGGCTGAATCTGATTGGATGAAAGCAATGGAAGCAGAGACACAGAGGAAGACAGGAGCTGTGCAATGAGACGATCAGCTAATGGGAAACATAATTATATTATATATTATAAAGCTATGACTTTGTGATTCTGTTCAGGCCAGCGGAGAAGGCCCAGCTCGCCCTGACACACGCTCTCTCTCTCTGTCCTCACTGTCCCTCACCTCCTCGGTCTTCTGTTTATGTGCTGCCCACGCACCCTCACTTCCTCTCCTCGTCTGACCTCACATCCTGTCTGCGTCCGACTGCCTGTGTTTGATTACGGAGGGCAGCCAGACGGAGCGAGGGAGCAGGAAAAGAACAGGAATGGGGAATTGAAGGACGGGGGAGGGGGGGGGGGGCGCAGCGGAATGAGCCAGAAAACAGACGGGCGAGGGATTTAGAGGAGGAAAGAGCTGCGCTGAAGGACGGTCTGAACAGAGAGAGGGAGAGAAGACAGGCAAGAGGAGTCTGGGTAAGAGATTAGGTGGAAAAACGCGAGGAAATTGCGGGACAAAGAGCGAGCCGAGGATCAACAGAGAGGAGGAGAAAGGGGGGGGATGAAAGGAGATGCGGCGGAGAGGGTTCAGGGGGATGTCAAGCAGGGATTGCATTAACTTTTGTGACATCATCAGTAGGCGCAGAGTAGAGCGCACCACTCACCTCAATGTACGTAGTAGTACTAGGTACAGTACTATAAATAAACCTAGAAATATAGGTTGCATTGACTAAAAGTAAACTGTAGTTATTTTGTGTAACCCTGAAAGATCTTTTTCCCAATGGTTGTTTGATTCATAGCAATGGACATCAGGGTTAACAAGAGTACAGTGTGTGTGCCCCCTAGTTCACAGTCTTTACACTAACCCTAAACAAAGCAAAAACTTTCTCTGGCCTCTGACCACCAAGCATTTTTTCCCGAAACAAGCTGCCATAAGGGGCCAAATGAAGGGGGGAGGGACTTCCTCTCTCCATTGGATTATTTTTACACATTCACATAAATACTATGGCACGCGAGCTTCGTTCCGTATCTATTCGTCTCCTTCGCTCTCCAATCCCTCTGGACCTCGCTGCCTCAGTCCTCGGCGAATACACCGGGAAATGTTGACCCCCTATCTGTTTTTGATGCAATACACCTACGCCACCTGATTAGTGGCGTCACTTTAAAACAGAGCCCGAGTAAAACCGAGCTGGTCCGACAGTGAGGAGGTTGCATTCCTCCTGCATGACGGCCTGCGGTTCTTAGACGCAGTCTGTCTGCGCTGGGACAAAAAAAGACCGTTAAGTCTTGGAGAAAAATATTTTAAAAATGTGGCGCTCATTCAGCCGCCACCCAACACAGACACACTGAGCCGCTGGGCGTGTGTGTGTGTCTGTCTGTCACTGTAAAGGAGCAAAGTGAGACAAGATCCCCATCAGTGGAAGCCTCTAATCAAGGAGTACAAAGCAAAGCAGAGGACACTTGGCTGGAAGGAAAGGAAGCGAGAGAGATGGGAGGACAGACAGCAGAGGACGGAGACTGAGGGGGCTGAAAAGTTGAAAAGAAGGGAGAAGAGAAAAATTGAGGTGGAGAGGGGCACAAACCTCGGATTCCAAACTATTATCATCTGTTGCTGCATAGTGAGCATTCCATCTGCTCAACAGCTGGGCTACACACACACACACACACACACACAGCAGAGAATTTGCTGGGACATGCCACAGATTGTGGTTGTCATGGTGAAGGTTGAGTTCTCATGGCCAGAGCACTGATCGTTTATAAAAGGGATTAGAGATGGAGAAATGGAAGACCGACTAGCACAAAGAGCACATAAAGTCAGAGGATGTAAATATATTTAAAATTTGTATTCAAGAAATGGGAATGAGAATCGTGGTATCGTCTTCCTGCAGTAAAGTCATTTATTGGACTTTCTAATTCTAGTTTTCCACAGCGAGGATTGGAAGAATCTGGTATACAAAGCTGGATTCCTGAGGGAGGAACACGTGTGCGTGTGCACGAGAAGGACTGAAGCGAGCCTTTCTATGGCAGCGAAGCATAAGAATCATCACTATTCGTGCGCGCCTGTGTCCAAAATAATGAAATCCAAAGTCAAACTTAACCTAAAACTAAAATAAATAAGTCTCAGTATAAACACTTGAAATTGCATTCTCTTATTTCCCCGGCGTAACCTGATTTTTCTCAATAACCGGGTTTCATGTGTGCATGTAAACAAAGACAGAGACAGAGAGACCTTGTCCACTGCAGCCCTCTCGCCGAGGAGAGAGATCTGTGTGAGAGTGTCTCAACTGCCAAGCGACACAAAAACTCCCTACTTTTCCAGGAAGACCATGAATTTGTGCGCATCTATGCGCGCGTGTTTATGTGTGTACGTGCCGCGTATAGCGTAGCGGCCTGGCCGTGCAGCAGAGGATTATGGGGAGTGAGTTTCTCAGAACCCTGACCCCATTCGACCCTGCTCTGCCCAAAAGATCTTTAGTGAGTGCAGACTGGCAGGGAGCGGGAGACAAATGCGGGGAAGTAGAGGCGCAGAGAGATTTACTTTTGGTTTTTCTTAAGATTAGGAAGATGGAATGATGGAGATCCACCACTGCGGATAAAACGCAGTTGGCACATGCAAAAAAAACAAAAAATTGCCGATGGTTGAAATCAATTCACAGTTAGAAATACTGGGTCAATTTCACAGTCATTATGAAACAATATGTATTATGTTAATTAAGAACCTTGTGAGAATAGGGACAAGCAGCCCTGCTTCTGTCTCTTCAATCCCAAAGCAGCGCACAAACAGTTAATGAAAATATAAGTTGTTTATCCCATTTTATTCCTGCACCTTTAGCATTTCTTCAACAAACTTTTCCATTGACCCCCTGTAGTTTCTGTGACTGCAACCGCTGTTTTTTTAGTCTGGCTTTGACCAACCGTGTAGAAAGTGAACCTTCAATGAATCTATTGTGGATTCCAGCCTCTGCCTTAAACTCCGAGACCTTTAAATGTGTTAAGCTGTGCAGCTCCCAACACCGTACAAAGCCCAGTCAGGTAATAGGTCAGGTGTAGGTAGCTGTAGGTAATAAGCCGACCATGGTCAGGTACCTCATACAACCCAATACAGGTAATCCCAAAAAAATCCCCTAAAGTCGAACTTTTACCCCGCTGAAGCAGTCGAAAGGACTTAAGATCTTATGCAACCCGGTTCTGGTGGATACAGAGCGGTCGGATGGAGAGTTTACCGCTTATATCACAAGCTCCGTTCAGCTGGTGGGGACAACGTCTGGTGTACTCATTGTGATTGGCGAGAACAACCGCCCCCTTCTAATCCCGCTAGTCCTGTTACATGATATCAGCGGGAAAGACATTCCTCTGCTGGTAAAGCCATCCCTTGTTCTCGCTCTGTTTTCTGTACATCCCGCCCCTCTTTGGACTCTTTCCCTCCCCAATTTATTTCCATCGCTTTCCTTCTTTTCCATTTCCTTGTTTTATCTCTTTCTTTCATTCCCTCTTTTAGTCCTCCGACCCACTGCCCCCTCCATCTTGCCGTACAAATGTGGCCGTATTTGGGTTTGTGGGAAGGGGTTGCAGTTGGGGCGGGCGGGTGGAGGGAGGGAGGGGGGGGTTTGAGATTATCACCATGGCGATGCACAGTCCAGAAAGCAAAAGGGTCGCAGTGTGACAAGTTCATTTCACACATTTCCATTTGTGTTACTACAATGACAGCAGGGAGAGCTGGAAGAGGAGCTCGGTGTTAATATAAAGGGTTATGACCACTAGAGCTAAAGACCATGACATCACCAAAACACCACAGCACGTTGTGCTTTTATAAGCCTTTTTTTTTTCCACCACCGGCATTGTCCTGAGCCTTTCAGATCACTAGCAGCTTAATTAGCCGTGAAGAAATAAATGCAATACAAGAAGTGTTGTCAGCAGAATACAGGTATGTGTTTTATAATTCTAAATTCAAGAACAGTAGTTTTAGTGAGGCTCATGTCAGCTAAAGATAGATGGCCATTGCAGTGTGACTGATGTTACTGGGTCACTACAGCTTCCTCATTGCTCATCTCTATTGAGTAACAGTCTGAGCGAGGTTTCTCTGTTGAATGTGTTTTTGTTTAGGTTGAAGGTTATCGAAATTTACAAAAAACACGAACTGGAGATCAAATTGCATTTTAGATGAAACTTGTAGTTTAAGATGGATATGCAGAAATAACAAATATTATTCTGTAAATCTTATGCAAAGAATGTGCCAGGAACAAATTGGTTGAATATTAAATTCCAGCAGGGGTTTTCATTCAAAACATCTTTCCTGGCACTTTTTCACTGTCTTTGGCAATGAAAAACATCTCGAGTTTGGATTCACTATGTTAGTGCAGAACAGTCATGAAATGTTTTCCATTATTTATTTTTGCTGACATTTGCGTAACTAATAAAGAACTTTAAGAAATCCCCGAGAGACTCAAAGTGCATTTCATTTTTTTTACAAACTGAATAAGAGACAGATTTGTTTCCACAGTTATCATAACACGACCTATACAAATACCTATGACCCTTCCTCTCACTTCATTCCCACCCCACTCAAAAGAATGGTGGACACAGTGGCCGCCGAGCACATCTGGTTTCCCCTCAATCCACAGCACTCTGCAATGACACAGAACCAGAGACGGAGGGAGGAGGGTGCTGGCCGCGCTCTCACCGCTGAAACCACAGATTCTCAGAGTGAGAGACGGGATCTGCAGTGGTGGTGATGCAGAGCCAAGATGGAGGAACAGAGGGGACGGGGCCCACATCTGTTTCTGCTCAGCGAGCAGCTCCGCTCTGAGGAAAAGTGGGCCTGTAGAGGTGGCTTTAGTGGAGAATGGACACGGCGCTCGCCAAGTCAGCCTGCTGCCTTACAAAAGCCACACACACACACACACACACACTGTGCACATACAGAGCAAGGCATCAAGGGCAAAGCGTAGGCAGCTGTGTGCATGTGCACGCCTGTGTGTGTGTGTGTGTGCGTGTGCGTGTGGTATTCCGGGTAGGACCATACTTGGCTGCGTCAGGCCAAGCAGCAACTTTGTCGGAATGTTTGCTCTTCAACTCCCTGTCTCTCCGTCCCTCGGCTCCCCCGTGATGTAGGAATTCTGGTATAAGAGAGAGAGATTTCTCTATACGAACCGTCTGTCCCTCTTCCCTCGTCTGTCCTTCAAATCCCACATTCCTCTCCTCTCTCCGTTTGCGCCCCTACCTCCCGCCAATCCTCTGGGCCCTCATACTGATTGTCTTACAGGAAGCCCAGTCGCAGGCTGTTTGTGCGCGTGTGCGTGTGTGTGCGTCCGTGCGTCCGTGCGCTGGTGTGTGGTACATCGGGCTGACTCAGGCCCGAGCTCCAGCCCAGTAGTGAGGCCCTGGCAGACCAGAAGAGTCCACCGACGGCATTATGTCATGTGTGCTATATGATCCTCACATGCAGAGCGGACGACCCCGCTTTCCTTTTCCTGCTTTGGCATCTTTGATGTGTTTTATGTCAGTACTGTGTGTGTGTGCGCGTGTGGAAGCTGCACATTACAAATAAGTGTGTGTTTTGCATTCGCAGAGATGTCCAGACGTCCACACACACTGTCACTATGAGTGTGAGTGAGAAAGTTTAAATGTGTGTGTGTGTGTGTGAGCAGGTATACTTACTGTACCAAATTCTCCAAAAACAAAACACATTTTCTTACTGATATTTATAGGCACGGAACCACAAATAAAATCCTGTGCTAAAGTGGTGCTGCAACCAATTATTATTATCATTGATTCATTTGTCAATTTCTGGTTTCTTGTTTTGTTAAGCCAAAAATCATGAACTCCAAAAGTACTCAATTTACACTGATGGAAATCCACATAAAACTAAGTGCAAATAAATACTGAGAATGTTTTAATTTCTGCTTACAAATATTTAACTGATTCAACTGACAGCAAACTGTTTAATTACTTTATTAAATCAACTTGTGGTCCCAATGTCAGTGCATAACTACTTTCTACTGAAATCTGCATGGCATGATAGCACTAAAAGGTAAAAAGCTTGTTTCCTTAGCAATTTGTGTGAATTAACCAACACCTTTCCGTCTTGTTTCCATTCACCTGAACCGAGCCACCTCGGTTATACTTATATATTTTGTAACTTTTTGTAATCTCAGAAGTGAAAAAAAAACATTCTCCATTCACGACTATTCTGTCCCCAAAAGTTACACTGCAACAAGATTGTGTTGCCAGATGTTGAGCCTTTCTTGACGTGTGAAAAGACAAGTCTTTGAAGAGGAACAGTACCACAATAAGCGAGTGTGTGTGTTAAGGCTACAGTCTCCCAACCCCCCCTGCGGCTGAGCCCTCGCCGACAAGGCCGGTATTGTAGCGGGGGTAAAACGATAGCGCTCAGGGACGGGTTCAGCTATGTGGTTACCCAGACAACCTCTCATACCCCCTTCCCCACATTCCCACTACACTCCACCAGGTAGCCACTGTTCTGAGGATTAAAAAAAAGGCCTGAATAGCTGCAGTGTAAAAGCTAAAGAGATGACCAGACTTTCAAATTGCATTTGGGGCACAATCAAATAATTAAAAAAAAATCTAAAACCGAATTTTGCTCTTTTGTATTCTGTGCATGCTTATGGGAGAGGAAAACATTCAAACCTACTGTGAGCAATTCTTCCTTTCAGCAGTGCGAGTCTGAATGCTGTGTGTATGTGTGTGTGTGTGTGTGTGTGTGTCCTACCTTGAGTGTGTGTCTCTGGTTCACTGTTTCGTGGACTGCTGCGGAGTCGTCTCTCCGGCTTCTTCCCTCCCGGACTGCAGATTCCGCCCCCCGACCCCACTGACCCGAGCGCTGGGGCATGTGATTTGTTGCTGTATCAAAAATGAAGTTACCACATCATTTAATAAATCAATACGTATTATCCGCGTTTACGACCGGTAACCGCTTGGACCGAAATAGTAATGGGACTAACTTGTCAACACTTAATGGTCTGATCCGAGCCGATCAAACAATAAGTTCATTAACTGACGTTGTGTTTGTTTTAGCCGTCGGGTCACCTGTATCCGTTGTGTGCCGGCCCCAGGCTGCCCTTGTACAGAGTGGAGGGAGGGGAGTTGAGTCGGTTCTGTCGTTCCAGTTGCCTCTGTTCCTTTATCTTTTTGGGCTGCGGCTTACTGTACGTCTCCTCTCTGCCTATGTAGTTCGACATCCCATAAACCGGGATGATTTCTGGAGGAGTGGACGAGGTGACAGACGAGAGTATAAATTGGTAGAAAGCATTACGTTTGATTCGCTATTATAATTGAATTTCCACGTTTCCGGCGAGCGCGTCAGTACCTGGATCGCCGTACATGTGGGGAAGGTGGTGCTGGTAATACTGGTGGGGGGGCAGGTCCCCGGGGCTGACAGGGGGGTAGAAAGAGTGAGAGTTGGGGATGAAGTGGGGGTGAGCAAGGTAAGGGGGCAGGTGGTGTGTGGGGGAGAGGGCCGGAGAGTAGGAGGGAGGGTAGCACTCTGGAGACTGGGGCGTGACCACCACCCGGCGGACCCCCGTGTTATCCTCCAGCACCTGCGGGAGACCCAGAGGAAGAGAAAGGGGGCAGGTGAGTGACAGCTGGTCCAAAAATGTGACCGTAAACAAAAAGAGGGCAGTAAACTGCTTTATATGTTGTGTTAAGTTTCAATTTTGCATTCAGTGCAGGACTTGAAACTGTGAACCTTTTTGACAAATTGTTGAACTAGACCTGTAAGGTTCTAATATCCCGTATAGCTTTAGCATAGTGGATTCTTGGGGCCCCTTCTTTTACAAAATGAGGCTGTCAATCACTTGTGCAAGAGCCGGTGCTCTTTCGAATAGTTTCTAATAAAAGGAATGAATCGCATAATTTAGTTAACAAGTGAACGATTGTGCCGAAAGGACACTTTGGCCCTTAAAGCGGTAAAACAAGGGTCCGTGATGATGTGATCGGATGCTCTGCAGAAAAAAAAAAAAAACGTAAGACGAAAAAAGGTTTCCAAGGCCAGCCTCAAATTAACACGCGTGATTCCATACGTGTGTTCACTTTCACATTCACGGACTGGGACACACAAACACGCACATTCCAACCATTCAGAACCTTTCACACGCCGGCATTCCAAGCAGACACACACTGCCTGCACGGAAGGAAAGTCCTTGGCTGGTCCCTAACAACAACAACAACAACAAAACACACCAAATTAGACTACTCCAACAACACACACACACACACACACACACTGCAGGGCAACAGACTCAGTGACAGAATACAACAGAGGGAAAGAAAGAGGGGGGAATATTAAAAAGGGGGTCAAGGGGGAGGCAGAGGGCTCGAGAACTAATCCGAGTGAGAAAAACTGAGAAAGGGGGAAGAGAAGAAGAGGAAGAAAAAGGACCCCATCGTCCCCTTGTACCCTTGTCCCCTCCTCTGCTAACAGGAAAAACAAGGGCAAAGTCCCACACATCCCAATGCAGCCGTTATCACAAACCCCAACACACACACACACACACACACACACACACATGCAATATCTGTAAATGCACAACTTTCCACCACGCACGGCTCTTTCCCCATCCATTCCTTCGCCCACCCCTAACTCCACAAACACCCCTACCCACCCCGGGGCCTGTCTCCCCTATCTGTCTTGTTTGTGTAAGAGCAACAGGGTTTCCCGCTCACACTTGGCTCAGTCCCTACTAACACACACACCCACACACACACACACACACGCCCACGGTGCGTCAATGACCTGACTTCCACTGGCAACCCAATTCCACCTCATGCAGACCAAAAAATGGATTTGTAACACGCGACTCGTGAGGGCAGGCTATTGATTCTTGTTGACCTTCAACCCCCCCAGAACAACTAACAAGAGAAACCCAACGGTTGCCTTATTCATGATGTCCAACGTGAATGTGAAAAGACCGAAGACACAATCCGCTCTTTGGGAGATTCTTTTCTTCTTCCTGTTCTTGTGAGGTCATTTGACAAAGTAAACACACACACACACACAAAAGATACAGTCAGAAAAACAATTGCCCCCTGACACCCCAAATTCAGCACATTCCTGCTCGGTACTCTCTTGGTAGAGGAGACTTCAACAGCCTTGATAGGAGCCTGCTGGATGCTCGCTGTGTGGGTCACTGTGCACAAACGCAAAGGGCTTCTATCAAATAACGACCACTTCACCCACTTCGGATAGTTGTTAGTCAGAAGATTAATTAACAAACAAACAAACTTGTTTACTTCAAATTGCTGTGTGGAACCACATCTAACTCTACCAAATGATTACGTTAATAGCAGTATGTGTGGGTTTTTGTTGTCTCTTTGTCTGTCTTTCCACGGTCGATCTTGCATATTGCTCACCCATCTGATTAATATTTCTTGTGCTTATTTATTTATTTATGTCCTCCTGGACCTCCTGTAGTTTTTAAAAACATACTTCATTGAGGATGTGTGTTGTAGTAGTAGTTGTTGCATCATCAAATGATGATGACGTGGGGGAAATCCATACTCTCTACTGGGTGCATTTCATTTAGTTTTGCTTTAAACACATTTTGATTAAAACTTAGCATGTTGAAACAAACCAGAAGGCTGCTTAACTAGTCCCAATGAAATTACATCTAGCAAAATAAATACAGACTATATTTGCCTAGAAAATATATTCCTCCTACTTACATGCTACTAAATAAATTGTGTTGGTTTCCTTTTGTGTCTGACTGAAACTATCCAACACAAGATGCACAACACATAAATCATGTCTAGAAAACCCCCAAATAAACACAAACTAACCTGTGAGATGTATCCGGGGGGTACGTGGATGGGGGGGATGGACCCATTTGGGGACATCATGGGAACCTCAGCAGGACCTGCAAGGGAAGAGAAGATTCATTTAACCGAGCGCTTGAAGTAAATTCTCCTTGACATTTGTCAATGGTCACTTAACAGATGGACACGTGGAGTGACAAAAATACAACAGGGCCTTGTGTGTGTAACAGGGCCTTAATTCAAGAGAATACATTGTCTTTCTTATTTGAGGCAATATGACTTGATGTTGCAGACACATGTAGGATGGAATGGGGTACAACACACGAGGGCACGTGACCGCTCTCTAAAAAACAAGCAAGGAAATCTAATAGAATTAGCAGATTGGGAATGATGTTGACTTTTCCACAATCCATCCCCCTCTATGAAGGAGGTCTGTGGCTGGTAAAGTCATTGGGACCCCGTTGGGACAGCTGGAGGCAGCAGCACAGGCCTCAGACTGAAATCACGCTGCGAGCACACACACACCCAACCACACGCACACACACACAGGCCCATTAGTTGCATACCAACACAAGTATGATGCTAAAGGTTTCTGTCAAGTGTTGGTTGAATAAAACCTGATTTTCTTCACTTGGGTCATTCAAGCAAAATTGAAAAAAACTCTCATGTAAGGAGGGAGAAGATGTGTTTGTTCAGGTTTCATCATGTGACGCTTAAAACCCCTTTTTTCATCCCTTCCTTTCTTTTTACTATTTTTTTCAACCAGGCTCCATCCATATATTTCTTCCTTCCACAACTTGTCCCTTCTTTCGGTCTCACTCGGTCAGCTCGTCTTCCCTCGAACCTTCTCTACACCTTCACGCTCTCACTCACTTGATCCTGCTTTTCCTTCCACCTTTTTGTTCTCTTTTCCCCCCTTTCTTCATCCCCGTTTTAAGAAATTCCTCCTGCATGATCTTCCCTCTTTCCCTCCCTTCACACCATTACTCACCTCCTTCACTCCCTCCTTTCCATACAAATATTACTCACTCCATCCTTTCCGTCGTTGCTTACTTCACCGTCACTTGCTTCACTTCAGTCCCTCTCTCCCCTTTTTTTCTACATCCCCCACCTTGAATCATCCCCTCTTTCGTTCCATCCCTCCATCTCTCACCCACCTACCTGACCTCTCACCAGCCAAACGAACGACAAACACACACACAACCAGAGCAAAGTCTGCAGTCTGGACTGGTGTGTGTGTGCGCGTGTGTGTGTGTGTGTGTGTGTGTGTGTGTGTAGTGAGTAGGTCACAGGTATGAAGAGACAGACCTCTTTCAGTCCTACCAGGGAGCCTATGAAAGTCCTCATTGAGTAGAAGGTCGTAGCATGTGGAGAACACACACACACACACACACACACACATACCACACGCAAAAACTGAGGGCCTCTAAACCGCTTTTCATCGCTGCTCACACACCATCCCAAGTCTCCGTCGCAGGCGCACACACACACACACACACACACACACTCTTGACAAACAGACGTGTGTTTGGACAGTCTCTGCTCCCTCTATACTCTTCACTCAGCAAACAGCAGCATTCCTTTGCTCACACACACACACACACACACACATTCCCATCTCTGGCCCCCAGGACTGGACCCAACAGGCCTAGTTACCCCCCCCCCCCCCCAACCCCTCCCCAAAAAAAAAGAAACTCTTTGTCCTGCTAGTCCCAGACACTCTCTCTCTCTCTTTCTCACACACACACACACACACACACACGCGCACACACACACACACACACACACACACACACACACACACACACATACACACACACACACACACACATTTGCACACACACACACACTCATACGCTCGCTCTCACCCCCTGTTGAAAGAGATATAAAAATAGAGAGTGTCTGCACTGAAAAGCACTCGCGATATAAGACACAGCAGCGCGTGCTCTCTAGTGGTGCTTTTTTGCGCCCCGGGTGTGTGTGTGGTCGTGTCTCTCGTGTGTGTGTATGTGTGTGTGTGCACGTGACATAGAAGTGAGTGTGGTCCATGATCCTCTCTGCTAACGTCACTCTCTGGTTTCAACTCCAGCTTTGCTCTTTAAGCACCGCAAACAAGAGTCATGACTTCCTCTGTCTAATCCTGCTGGAACGCCAGCCACACAACCTCCACTCCCCCGCCCGCCTTCCACCCGTCCGCATCCTTCCGCTTCCGACCACTGGGAGGTCAGGGATGAGTTATGAGGTCATATCTTGCGTGTGGGATGACGTCACCGTGATGACTGCGCAGCACAGGGCTGTGTGATTTGGGCTTGCTCATCTTCACTATACTACTATTTAAAATATAAAATTTGATGTAGTTTCCAAAAACAAACCTCAGTATGTCATGATCTTTACTGTTTCACAGACCCTGTGAACCCCGATGTTTCCTGTCACAGACCTTATAGTCACCTCGTCTCACAGCCCGCATGCATTCCTTAATAAAAAGGTTCTCATTTTACTCGTCAATGTTTATTTGCTAAATTGAAAAAAATGAAACGTCATACCTTAGATATATACATCAAGCATACGTTAAATAAATGACTTTAATCACATAGCGTACTGAATAATGAATGAATACCACATCTATGATGTAACATTCTGACTGTCATGGTTCTGTGGCGAGTTGTGCACACATTTGGGACTTTTTTTTTAAGCAACCAAGCGGACAAAAGGAACGATGACGAATTACGGCCACAAAGGGAGACAAAACAACAGCATTGGCGCAGCGGGGGAAGAGCGGGTAGAGGAATACGGGCAGGTGCTGGATGGGAAAACACTGCTGTCATGAGGAGAACAAGTTACAGTGTGAAAGCCACATGTGGTGAGCAGGAATTACCGCCTCTTGGTTGAAGGCTTCCGGCAAACACGTTTTTAGTTGATTTTGTCGAGTGATGGATTAGATCAACAGACCCATAAAACAGAGTTTCTCCGCTAAGACACCAACAGCACTTTAAAGCGCGGGTTTAGCAGAGATGTGTGTGTATACGCTTTCTTGGAAAAAAGCCATTTATCATGAAGAGAGCAGCCCTTCCTCTGGCCACCCAAGTCGAATTAGATCAACCCCGGGTCCACGTGGATGCTGGTGCCAAATCACAAGACGTTATTTTGCGGTATTAGATTAGATTTCGCCTTTGCGGGAGTGGGATGGATCACACCTACGGACGGCCCGAAAAAAAAAAACGGCTTTCGACGCGATTTATATGAGAAATGAACAAACATGCGAGTTGACAAGCTCAACGGACACATTTGTGACTTTGTCCTTCCCGTGCACATTCACACTCACGCTCAGGCGGAGGAGATGACGTAACATTTCATCAGATGTTTCCCATGATACAGCTGTCAAAGACAGCTGCGACTCGGCCCCCACAGCGCAACACCCACGCCGCCCAAAACACAGGACAAACACAGAAAGTGTGCCGGTCTCACAAACAAGTAAGTACATCCGCGATGGAGACCCGCACTCATCTCTCGCTCACTCGGCCGCCGAGAGGAGACGTGAAGATCAGCTTCCTCGATGAATGTGAAATGGTTCCAATCGACCTGAGGCAGCAACGGGCTTACGACGAGGTGGAACACTTTCCCTCCTTCCCTTCATCTCAGCTCTGCACATGTGGTCACCACATTTAAAGGAAACACAGACCCACTTGGGAAGGCGCGTGTGTGTGTGTGTGTGTGTGTGTGTGTGTGTGTGTGTGTTGGTATCAGACCAAAGGAGCCGGTTTGTGAGCTGACCTACATACACAACAGGCCTAGAAATGTGCAGATCGAATACAACAACATGAGGTTGCTAAATAGACAGACAGCTCTCTTTATCGTTTCATCTCTGCGCACACACACAAACACACACACACACACACACACTCTCACTCAGAGAAAGAGGGGAGAGGGGACACACAAAACATAATCTATGTGTACCTATCACAGCTCCATGGAGGCAGCTGTCTCATCTAGAGGGCTATGTGTAATCCCGTGTGTATGCATGTGTGTGTGTGTGTGTGTGTGTGTGTGTGTGTGTGTGTGTGTGTGTGTGTGTGTGTATGCATGTGTGTGTGTGTGTGTGTGTGTGTGTCTGGGTCAGTTGTGACGTGGCGTTGCCTGGAAGTTATGTAAGCATCAGCAGTGTAATGTTATCTGTCCTCGGAGCTCCAAGAGAACGACACTCCCACAACAGCTTCTCCAGGGCTGATACACACACACACACACACACACACACACACACACACACACACACACACGGCAAACATTGCCTATTGTCATATTTGAGTAACTAAAAACTATATGAAACCCTTTAGATATGTTTAGTCAACTGATACAGCAATTAGAAGCTCTCGGAGAGAATTGTGGAGTTTGATGGGAAATAACGAGTGGGAAGGAGATGCAAAGGGAAGGGTGAACCTTTTGCAGGAAATCCAGAGACCATTTTAAAATAGCACAGTGTACTATAAACACACATCCTGGATTGGTGAGACATACGCAGAAACACACACTCGCACAGGAACTCGCACTTCTTGTCACTTGAGCCAGGACGGGCGGACGTCTTTGCCGGGGGCACGCTGAGGCTCAGGGATGGAGGAGGAAGTCGGGACCTCCTGTGCTGCCCTCGGAAGCAACGCTTTAAAGAGTGACACAGACTGATGGATGGCCGGACATGCATGTACCTACAAATGTGTACAAATGTGTCCGTTGAGCTTGTCAACTCGCATGTTTGTTCATTTCTCATATAAATCGCGTCGAAAGCCGTTTTTATATATATATATATATATATATATATATATATATATATATATATATATATATATATATATATGCAAATGTGCATGCAGAAACACACACTTTTGATCCCGACTGCGGTTCCGTGAGACGATAGCTAATTTGAGGCGGCTGCTGATTTGCTGTGGATCATAAGCTGGACATTTGAAACCTTGGTCTTATTGTATGTACATAACATGTCTGTGTGTACGTGTGTGTGCGTGTGTGTGTGTGTCTAAGCACATTCCTCAGGGTGAGCGAGCGACTCATGGCCTCCGAGCTCAAAGTCTTATCGCGATAAGAGAAGAAGCAG